ATGGGACTGGATGCTTAGTTTTTTGAATGTTGAGTTTCAAGCCAACTTTTCACTCTCCTCTTTCACCCTCGTCTAGAGGCTCTTTAGTTTCTCTTTGCTTTCTGCCGTTAGAGTGGTATCATCTGTGTATCTGAGGTTGTTGGTATTTCTCCCAGCATTTTGCATGATATGCTCTAAATATAAGTTAAATAAGCAAGGTGACAATATACGGCCTTGATGTACTCCTTTCCCGATTTTGAACTAGTCTGTTGTTCCATGTCCAGTTCTGTTGCTTCTTGACCCACATACAGGTTTCTCAGGAGGCAGGTGAGGTGGTCTGATATTCCTAACTCTTGAAGAATTTTCCACAGTTTATTGTGATCCACATAGTCAAAGACTTTTAACTTAGTCAATGAAGCAGAAGTAGATGTTTTTCTGGAATTCTCTTGCTTTTTCTATGATCCAGTGGATGTTTGCAGTTTGATCTCTAGGTCCTCTGCCTTTTCTAAATCCAGTTTATACATCTGGAAGTTCTTGGTTTATGTACTGTTGAAGCCATTTTGAGCATTACCTTGCTAACATGTGGAATATATGCAACTGTGCGATAGCGTGAACTTTCTTTAGCATTGCCCTCCTTTGGGATTAAAATGAAAATTGACCTTTTCCAGTCCTGTGGCCATTGCTGAGTTTTCCAAATTTGCTGGCATACTGAGTGCTGCACTTTAACAGCATCATCTTTTAGGATTTTAAATAGCTGAGCTCCACTAGCTTTAGTGATAAAGCTAAGATTTGGCACTGTTTACCCTGCTTATTGGAATGGTTGTTGCAAAAGATCACTGCAGCGTCTGAGGGGAAGGGCCCCCACCCTATCTTCTGTCTGCCTTGGGATTCGCTGTGTGCTGGTTTTCCAAGGCTTGTGGTGGAGGCGGCTTCTCTGCGCCTTCAGTCACCAAGGGCCCTGCTGCTGCCTTTATTTATTGATGCATTTTTTGATGATGTGGAGAAGGTTGAATGACCAAGGGGTGCCAGAGACCCACCCAGAGGTCACCTGCTAGCTTGCCCCGTGGGCCGAGGGACTCGCTGGCTCCCTTGTCTGTGTGGGGCAAGGGGGGCAGTTCATGAGGCCTCCACCGCCCCACAACACGGCAGCTCACCCGTCTATCAGGTTGGAATAATGGAGTCCCCAATGCCGAGGCCGAGTGCGCTGACGGGAGACCTTGAGGGGGGAGAGGCACAGGTGGCGCCCCCGGGGAGCCCGATGCATCGTGAGCCGTGTGCCTTGCAGACGCCTGGAGCAGGGATACCAGGGGAAGCTGAGCCTCCTGCGGTCCGAGGTGGAGGTGGAACGCGAGCTGTTCTGGGAGCAGGCTCGGCTGCAGAGGGCCAGACTGGAGGAGGACCTGCGGTGCCTGCAGGCGGAGGAGACCGGCCTGCGCGAGAAGCTGACCCTGGCCCTGAAGGTAGGGGGCTTCAGGGTGCTGTGGGGTGCGTCCTCAGGGCCCCCCTCCCGAAAAGAGGGAGGCTATATTGCCTGGGGGGCCCCTCCTCCACAACCACCCCTTCCTGGGCCAGGACTGAACCCTCCCCGCAGCCCTGGGGGCTTGACGCTAAAGAACATTTTCTGCAACCACAGAGAGAGCCCATTTCTCAGCTGAAGCGGAAGCGTCCTGGCTTCTCCAGGAGAGTCCAGGCCTCCTCTGGAGCCATGTGGGCCGCAGGATGGGGGCCCCGGGGCTCTCAGCTCTGGGTCAGCAGCTGCCGCCTCGGCTGCCCCCCGGGACCAGAGCCCTCGACCAAAGACAAAAGCGTCACCCGCCCCCAGCCTGGCTGTGTGACCAGATCGGGGGTACTCTTTGGGGCTGTGGAGAGCATCCCTGACCTGCTCCCCGCCTGTGTTCGCTTCCAGGGAGGTGGCCCCGGCCCCACCTGCTTCTCCTTCCCTGACTCGGGACTGTAGTTTCTGTCCTCACCTGCCCTGCCTCCCTCGCCTCCCTCCCCAAGAGGAGAGGCCGGGCCTGCCTTCTGATTCTTTCCTGTGTCTGCGGACACCGCCTTCCGTCCGGTGGACTCCTGGACTTTTGTGGTGCATCCTCAAGTCCGTCCTTTCAAAGGTGGCTCGGGACGGGTTGTCACCGCCTTCCATTTGTGCTGCTCATGACCTTGTCGAGGGCTCAGGCGGGCGGGAGAGTCTCCCCCAGGGCTCCTGCTCCAGAGCCCTGCCTCTGGCTCCCTCCTCCATCCCCAGAGCTTGCCAACCACTGACCTGTGTCTCGTAGGAAAATAGTCGATTGCAGAAGGAGATGATTGAAGTTGTGGAGAAGCTCTCAGACTCAGAGAAGCTAGTCCTGAAGCTGAAGAATGACCTGGATGCTTCCAGGGAGGTGGCCCCGGCCCCACCTGCTTCTCCTTCCCTGACTCGGGACTGTAGTTTCTGTCCTCACCTGCCCTGCCTCCCTCGCCTCCCTCCCCAAGAGGAGAAGCCGGGTCTGCCTTCTGATTCTTTCCTGTGTCTGCGGACACCGCCTTCCGTCCGGTGGACTCCTGGACTGTTGTGGTGCATCCTCAAATCCGTCCTTTCAAAGGTGGCTCGGGACGGGTTGTCACCGCCTTCCATTTGTGCTGCTTATGACCTTGTTGAGAGCTCAGGCGGGCGGGAGAGTCTCCCCCAGGGCTCCTGCTCCAGAGCCCTGCCTCTGGCTCCCTCCTCCATCCCCAGAGCTTGCCAACCACTGACCTGTGTCTCGTAGGAAAATAGTCGATTGCAGAAGGAGATGATTGAAGTTGTGGAGAAGCTCTCAGACTCAGAGAAGCTAGTCCTGAAGCTGAAGAATGACCTGGATTTTGTGTGGAAGGACAAGGCAAGTCCTCTTGCTGATTCGGAGTCCCCAGAGAAGCGCCTGTGCATGCTGGGTAAAGGGCATCAGGGTCTTGATGGAGAATACACAGGAGACAGAATTGGGTTTTTTTTCTGCTAAACTTCCATGTGCTGCTCAGTCACTCAGGTGTGTCTGGATATTTGTGACCCCATGGGCTGTAGCCTGCCAGCCTCCTCCATCCATGGAATTTTCCAGGCAAGAATTCTGGAGTGGGTGCCATTTCCTACTCCAGGGGATCTTCCCGATCCAGGGATTGAACATGCATCTCTTGCGTCTCCTACATTGGCAGGAGGATTCTTTAGCACTAGTGCCACCTGGGAAACCTAGAATTCTGTAATGGAGAGGAAATTATTAAGGCTAGTTTGCCTGTATTTTCCTCCCCTTCAGGCAGTGCAGGGGTGCAGGTGACATCCCAGTGATGCCCTGCATGTTGGCCTTCTAGTGACAAGGCCTGGACCAGTCAGCAACTTCTGCACAGACCCCATTGCTGGGGTCTTGGTAGTGGGGGGCATAGAGGAGTGCTTGCAGACCTGGCCCTCTCCATCACCTTGAGGGGAGGAGTGAGGGGAGGGAGGGGCAGGTTCCGTGCAAGGGGCCTCCCAAGTGGCCGAGGCAAGAAGGCAGCCCACGGTCCAGATGGGAGCATGACCACTTTCCTGAAACTCCGAACATCCTTCTGCCCTGAGACCTTTTAAACAAAGGGCATGGAGGAAGAAGAGGGACAGGTGGCTGCAGCTGCAGATGCTGAGTGTGTTGGGGCAGTACGAGGGGGAGACAGCCCACGCTGTACCTGGCCTGAGGTCCTGGCCCTCATTTTCCTGCCTGCCCCTGTCTTTCAGCTGGAGCCACAGAGCACAGAACTCCTGGCCCAGGAGGAGCGATTCTCAGAGATCCTGAAGGAATACAAGCTGAAGTGCCGGGTAAGTGACCCCCTGCCTGAGTTAATGTCAGGGGCTGTCTGCTCAGGACTGGTGGCCCCTTCCACCTCCTGGCCTGCACATGGAGGGGGGCCCAGCCCGGGCCCACAGGGGCATCCCTACATGAGCCGAGTGGGCATAGCCTCTGACGCGGGCTTCCTCCTTCAGTTGAGGTCTTTTGAGCTTCGAGTTTTTGTTTCTTCAATTTTTTTTGGCTGTGTTGCATGGCTTGTGGTATCTTAGTTTTCCGACCAGGGATCAAACCCACACCCTTGGCAGTGAAAGCTTAGAGTCCTCAATACTGGACTGCGGTGGAATTTCCCGAGCCTCATGTTCTTCAAGGAGGCAGTTGGGACTTTGCCTGCCCAGCACCTGTGCCCTGCCCCACACGGGCTGCTCACCCCAGTCCCAAGGCTCCGTGTGTGTCCGGGCACCATGTAGGGCTTCATCTTGTTTCCTGTGGTTGAGTGTATGTGTTTCCTGGGCCAAACCTACACGTGAGCCCACTCAGCTGGCATTGCCACCATGCAGAGCAGGGTGTAGGTGGTGAACAGTCCCTGCTGGGAAACATCACACTCTTACTCCCTGGAGACTGTCCAGGACTCCAGCAGATTAACATGATGTTTGGGGTTAAGGGTCTAATATTCACTTGCTTCTTAATGGTTTCCCTCCCGATTAATGTAAGAACTGTCTCTCTGCACGTGATGCTTTGGCCACACCAGAGGATAAAGGGGAGCCCATGCTGGTCTGCAGTGTGACGTGACCCCTGCCTCCTGCCCACCACACCCCGAATCCCAGTGCCCCTGCAGTCCTGCGTATGCTCACCTGTGTAACCCTTATCAGAGACCGAGTGGTGTGGGGGGTTTGTGGTTAACTTTCTGGAAGGAACTCTCCTTCATGCTGTGTTTTCTCCCCCGACTTGGAGCACCTGTGACTAACCAGCAGTTAATACGTTGCTTTAGTGCACCTGAATCTTTTCATACAGGTGTAACCCCCTTTGTGTTTTCCACCTGACTGTCACCTAACTGTTGCTACTCATTTCACTTTTGATTCTTGAAATTTTATGTTTTGAAATTTTTGCAAAAAAATTTTACATTTTAGTGCTACTTATTTAGAGATTTTCCCTCTTTTGGGGGAATATTTTTGTCTGTTTCAAACTAGCATTGAGAACGTTAAAAATTTTTTTTTTTTATTTGAGAGTAATTTTTAATACACAGCAGGCAAATGTCTGGGCTGCCAGCCCCTCTGTGTGTGCTGACTCAGCCTGGCTGGCCCCGCCTTCCTCTCCAGTGCTTTCTGAGCTGCTGTTGAAACCCCACCCTCTCCTGCTTTCTTGCTGAGCTCACCTCTCCTGCTAAAGCTAACCAGAAGAGAAGCCTCGAAGGTTCCAGAGCCCTCAGACCTAGGGCTTCGCTGTGTGCAGTGGTCTTGCTGCCTTTCTCAGCTCTTGGGGTAGCACCCTGTGACTGCCTTCAGCATCCACAGGCACCCCAAATTCACATGCGGCCCACACCAAAGCAGGCACTCGGCTCCCCAGCCCTGCTGGATGCAGCCTGGATGGGCAGGCTGGGACCCAGGACAGTACATGTCATCCTTAGGCGCTTAGAACAGAGAAGTCTGCCTAGCATATTACCTTAAGGACCTGTTTTCTGGCTCTGCTGAATTTGTGGGGCATGTCTATGGTCTTACAGTAGCCATTTGAGGGGTAGAAGGAACCACTGAAGGGGCAGGGCATTGAGTAGAAAAGATTCTGTTGATGTTTCCACCATATCAGCACTGCTCAGTAAAAATAACAGTCACGTGTGTGCTTCCAAGTTTTCCAGTGGTCATGTTAAAAAAGGTAAAAAGAAAAAGGTAAAAAGAAATAGGTGACATTCCTTTTAATAATATTTTATTTACTCCATTACTTTCACAGTGTCATCATTTGAACATGTAATCAATATAATCACATTTTAAGTGAGAGATTTTGCATCCCTCTTTGGGAACCCGGTCTTTAAGATCATTGTAGAGTATATGCTGCACACCTCAATCCAGACTGACCACGTCAGAGATGCTCGGTGGCCTGTGTGGTGTCATTGTGGGGCGGGGCGCACACACCCGCCACCCCACGGGCCTCCCTGCAGCTCTTGTTTCCTGGTCTTGCCCTTTCCCCCGGGACAGAAGTGCTCACTCTGGGGAGATTTCGTGTTTGCTCAGGAGTTTCTGAAGGAGGTTCGGTGACCCTAGTAAACATGCGCTTCCTCTAAGATCTGCAGGGCCTGTCCCTTCTCCCACGTGGCCTAGAGCCGTGGGTTAGAGGCTCCTCCTCCCGGGGCAGGTGTGGACACCGGCCAGGCACTGGCCTCCAGGGAGTTCAGAAAGAACTGACAAGACCTGCCTGCAGAGGAAAGTCAGATTAAAAAATCAGAGAGGAGGGACTGCCCTGGTGGCCCAGTGGTTAAGACTGCACTCCCGATGCAGGGGGACGGGTGTGGATCCTTGGTTGGGGAGCTAGGATCCTGCAGACTGCATGGCGCAGCCCCCGGAAATGGAAAATTAGAGAGGGAGGTGGGGCCTTGACGCTGTGTGTGGCGTTGGCTGCTTTGGCCTCCCCCAGAGCCAGGGTACCAGGGGAGGAGCCAGCTGGAAGCGGCATCACATGCGGCGTCCTCCAGGTGGGGTGACCACGGCCCACCCGAGGCGGGGGGTGGAGCACGTGGACCGACCGTCATGGGCGCACATGGTGCTCGGGTCGAGGGACCAAATGGGAGAGCGGACTGGGAATGCTGCCTTTCCTGGTCCTATACAAGACAGGTACCAAGTGGGCTTGCTGAGTTACCTTTCATTCTTTGGGTGGATAAACGATGCTTGTTACGTATGCGACCCTTCCTCTTTTATTTTTCCCTCTGTGCTATGCAGCTTGCAGGATCTTAGTTCCCTAACCAGGGAGCAAGCCCGCGTCCCCTGCAGGGGAAGCACTCAGTCCTAACTGCTGCACCACCAGGAAGGTCCCAGAGACCCTTCCTATTAAGCCTCATGTCCCCCCAAATCTCCCCTACCCCTTATGAGCATACTCCCCTAACCTCTTGTGGTTTCAGGTGTTAAAAGGTCTCTGTGTTTTCTCCATTTCTCATTTTCAGTGCAGTTTTTTCCCCCTGAGTCCCTTCTGTGTGTCCAGTGATGGCAGGTGGTGCCAGACATAAGAAGTTGGGAAATGACTCCTCCTCCTTGTTGCTCCTGGAGCAGTTCGGATCTAATGTCGGTTCCCTGTCAGGACCCGCTGTGCTGGGGCCTGAACTGTTCCCTGGGTGCCGGTTCCATGCCCTGCTCCTGGGCCTGGTGGCCGCAGTGGCTGGAGGAAGTGTCTGGCTCTGCCCACAGGACCTGCAGGACTATAATGATGAGCTGCAGGCTGCCCTGCAAGGCCTGCAGGCACAGATGGCCCCGAGCCAGCACAGCCACCAGCCCGTGGGACTCGGCCTGGCAGGTAGGCGCTGGGTGCTTGGAGGTGGTGCATCTGTTGGGAGGTGGTGGGTCACGTGCTCCTGCCCCGGGGACGGGGTGGTGGGCCAGCCCGCTGCCCAGGGGTCACAAGTCCTTTAGACCACTTGCGTGGGAGAAGGGTCCTATCCGAGGCCAGGGGTTTAGGCAACCCAGAACCCCAAGGGAGATGGAGGAAGATGAAGGTCCTACTGCTTGGACAGAGTAAGTGATGAAGGTTATGGTGACCTTGCTGTCACTTCAGGGAAGGCGTGTCCCCTGTGAGCCTCCTAATCTGTATGCAGGCTTCAAGAAGCAAAAGAGAGAACTAGATATGAAACAACAGACTGGTTTGCAACTGGGAAAGGAGTATGTCAATGCTGTATAATGTCACCCTGCTTCTTTAACTTATATCAAGAGTACATCATGTGATGGCTCTGACAAGGGCAGCCCACGTCAGCTGTCTTCGGGGCCTCTGAGGGAAGCTGGGTGGGTCTTCTGTGCACCGGGCCTCTAAGGGAGGCCCTCACCTGCACCTGCAGCCGTGGACTCTGCTGGGCCCCGAGCCAGAGCCCTGCTCCTCAGCCAGGGGTGGTTGGCGTGAGGCTGCTGTCATCGCATTCCTTGATGAGTGTCTGTGGCTCATGTGGCCACAAGGAAGGGGTCGATGGACTTTATCCCTCGACGGGCCTGAGCTGCGAGTGTGTGGCCCTTGTTGAGATCCAGGACCTGCGCTCCGGGTGCGGTGGTCGGAAGGCTCTGAGTCGTAGCACCGGAGGGAGCCCTGAGCTTCATGTTGGCGCAGATGCAGCCAGAGCGCTCTCCCGGCTGGAGCCTTGTCTCTTCCCCTCGCCCCCATCTGGCCTCAGAGCGTCTATCAGCCCCTTCTAAGGAGGAGGGGCGGTCAGGACAGCAGCACTGTGGTGCAGGGGTCACGTGGGTGGTGGAGGCCGGGCTGGCTGTGCATCCAACCAGGGCCACTCCTGACCCAGGCGGCAGCTTGCTGTTTTCAGGACGATGGGATGCTCTCTTTCCTCACATGCTTATCTCGAGTTCTCTTGGCCGGATGTTCTCGAGTCTGTCACTGTTTTTCATGGAAAGCAGTTTGGGAATTGAAAAGAGCAGGCGAGAAGTCAGGATGTGTCTGCTCCCTTCACTTTCCAGCCCATCAAACAGCATGGATGAAACCCCAGCAGTGGCCACATTCACATTCTGAATCAAGCCTTGAGTGTGCCCCCTACCATGCATGGCGTGGGGGTCACCTGGGCCCAGGAGGGCTGGCCATGCTATGGGTCCAAAATCACTGCAGATGGTGACTACAGCCATGAAATTAAAAGATGCTTGATCCCATGGTGTCCTGGGCAGAACATCAATGGACATGTCCTCTTGTTTTCAGGCACCATCACGTTCGTGGGTGATTCCGCCCCAGCGAGTGCAGAAATAGAGATCATGTTGAAGCAGCTGAAGGAGCGTTACCAAGAACTCAGGATCCAGCTGGAGACCCAGGTGAGGGGACTGAGGGAGGCCACAGAGGTCGGGGAACTTCCTGCTGCTGAGACGTGTCTGTGCACATGTGTGCCCGTAGTGAGCGCGCTCAGGGCGACCGAGGTTTGCAGGGAATGTGCGTGACCTTGACTTTCTGACTCCACCCTCTTCGGAAGGAGGCGGGACAGAAGGAATAGCTAATAACGGGAGGGAACAGAGTCCTTCCCCGTGTCCGGAGGCTGGTGTAGAGGCCAGAACTCCCTGTTTGCCCTGCACTGGGAAGTCACAGCCCCCGGCTCTGTTGCAGCTGAAGCAGATTCTGGGAGCAGAATCTTAGTTCCTGGGATTGCCCTGTGCCAGGGGCTCCCCAGGTGGCACTTGTGGAGATGAGGAGCTATGTTGCCAAGACAGGAGACATAAAAGATGCGGGTTCGATCCCTGAGTCGGGAAGATCCCCTGGAGGCGAGCGGGGCAACCACTCCAGCCTTCTTCCCTGGAGAATCCCGTGGACAAAGGAGCCTGGTGGGCTACAGTCCACAGGGTCGCACAGAGTCTTGTTTTTCATGGAAAACATTTTGGGAATTGAAAAGAGCAGGCAAGAGGTCAGCATGTGTCTGCTCCCTTCACTTTCCACCCCATCAACCGGCATGGATGAAACCCCAGCCGTGGCCACACTCACATTCTGAATCAAGCCTTGAGTGTGTCCCCTACCACGAATGGCATGGGGGACACCTGGGCGCAGGAGGGCTGGACAGGTGTGGGTCCACAGGCACCTCTTTGCAACAAGCTATAAGGATGGGTGATGTTGCTGGTGGGGCGGCTCTTCAGGACCAGATATAGCTCCCACCCCCTCCCTGTGATCCGTCGGATTCTCAGTCCACGACAGCTTAGTTTGCGTAACATTTTCCTTGAGACCCCTCATGCTTTATGTGATGTAACAGTGAGCAGCGAGGGCCTTTGAAAAAAGGAGGAAGCTAAAATAAAGCTGGAAGACATGGCTTTGTCACGTCTCGTCCTGAAGTGCTGTCTGAGCCCTGGTCATGTTTTCCTGTTGTCCCCGCCCCTCTGTGTGCCTGCCATGGTCAAAGGGGCAGGCATGTACCCCATAGAGCCTGAGAGATCTGGCAGGAGGCCTCCTTGTTTCTACGTTTGAGTGACCTGTGTTCTGGCAAAGACTTGAAATGCTGACCTGTAAAAGTGCCAACTTTGAGAACTTGGCAGAGCTGACAGTCCCTGGCCCGTGGCCTCTGAGCACCAGTGCCGCCTTCCTCTTGCAGAAAGGGCCCACAGAAGGTGGTGCTTCCTGCAGGGTCGGCTTGGAGGTTGGATCAGATCCCGTGGTGTCCTGGGCAGAACATAATGGACATGTCCTCTTATTTTCAGGCACCATCACGTTCGTGGGTGATTCCGCCCCAGCGAGTATAGAAACAGAGATCATGTTGGAGCAGCTGAAGGAGCGTTACCAAGAACTCAGGATCCAGCTGGAGACCCAGGTGAGGGGACTGAGGGAGGCCACAGAGGTCGGGGAACTTCCTGCTGCTGAGACGCGTCTGCGCACACGTGTGCCCATAGTGAGCGCACTCGGGGACAGAGGTTTGCAGGGAATGTGCATGACCTTGACTTTCCGCCTCCACCCTCTTCGGAAGGAGGCAGTTCAGAAGGAATAGCTAATAACGGGAGGGAACAGAGTCCCTCCCCGTGTCCGGAGGCTGGTGCAGAGGCCAGAACTCCCTGTTTGCCCTGCACTGGGAAGTCACAGCCCCCGGCTCTGTTGCAGCTGAAGCAGATTCTGGGAGCAGAATCTTAGTTCCTGGGATTGCCCTGCACCAGGGGCTCCCCAGGTGGCGCTAGTGGAGAAGAGGAGATATGTCGCCAAGACAGGAGACATAAAAGATGCAGGTTCGATCCCTGAGTCGGGAAGATCCCCTGGAGGAGAGCATGGCAACCACTCCAGCCTTCTTACCTGGAGAATCCCATGGACAAAGGAGCCTGGTGGCCTACAGTCCACAGGGTCACACAGAGTCGGACACGACTGAAGTGACTTGGCACGCAGGGGCTTCTAGGCCTCCCTGGCCAAGCCTGTCTTTTCGGGTGAATGTGTCTCTTGCTCTGTTACTCGATTGTGGGGGGTTTGTGGAGGGATGGTGTCCACGGCTCGTCAGGGGTCACCATGGCCACGGGGCGGTCCTGCCCCTGGGTTCCTGCTGTGGCCTTGCCTTCCAGGCCTCGTGGAGGTGTTGTTCCTTCTTGCCCTCCTCCTGCAGCTGCCTGCCGGGCCACCAGCCTCCCTTCTGCACCTGCAGGGCCTCCCCTCAAGGCTGCAGCGATGGTTAGAGGAAGTGACGGAAGCAGGCGGGGACAACAAGCCGTGGGGGGCCTTTCACAGACCCCGGTGCCCTGTTGAAGCTGGGCCACCCGCTGTTTTGGTGCTGCCCTGGCAGCCTTGATCCTTCAAGTGGATGGTGTCTGGGGGCCCCGGTTGACATCACTCCTCCTCTCTCCTCAGGTTAGTGACCACGAGAGGGAGATGGAGGTGCTGAAACGGGCCTTTGCAGAGGAGAGGAGGCAGCTGGAGTGGGGCTTCCAGCTCGAGGTTGGCGTGCTTCAGGGTCGGAAGGCCGAGCTGGCGACGCTGCACGCAGTCACAGGAGGTCATCTGAGGCCTGCGGGAGCAGCTGCAGAGGAGGGCGGAGCTGGAGCGGGGCCACGCATGGCAGCTGGGCCAGGAGAGGGCGCTCCAGCGGCTCAGGTCCGCCACCCTTGCCATGCGGGATCTCACGTCCAGGGTTCCTTGCCAAGAACCCGGATCTGAAATTGAATTTGAGCAGATGGCTCAGAGTCACAAGTACTCGTTACCTGAGTGGTGAGCCCTGAAAGAACAGGTTATTTTACAAAGGTTCTGAGTTTTCTTTCTGCTGCACTGTGCGCATGGCATGAGAGACCTTAGTTCCCTCACCAGGGATCGAACTTGTGCCCTTGTGGTGGACGCAGGAAGCCTCACCACTGGACTGCCAGGGATGTCCCAAAGAGTCTGACTTTAAAAATATGGAGTCTCTCATCTGTCATCTCATGACTCCTGGGGAGGTGGATAAAAGGCCTAAATGCCCCCAAATATTGGGAAAGGCCTTTAGTTTGGGTTAGTGGAGTCTTGAAAGAAACAGATTTGTGAGCAAAGGAGAGAAAAGGTTTGCTTGGCGAACTGGAGCATGATCTTCTGTGCTAGAGAAGAAGGGCCCACACGCCCATCCTCTGGGCCCCACCAGGAAGCTGGGCGCCGGAGAGGCCTGAGGCGAGGCTAAAGGTGGGGAGGCCTCTGTGAGCGGGTGATGGGAGCACTCAGGTGTGCAGCCTGGCCCTCTTCCCCGGCCCCCGTGGGGCTCAGGCTGGCACCCACTCCATCTCAGGAGCCCAGGACTCTAGATGGTCTTTTCCAGGAGCGTCACAGCAGCACACAGGAGATGACCCGGGTGACTGCAAGCAGGCACAGCTGTGTGTTGTGGTTGCGGCTCTATGCACTGTGTCTTTTGGCCCCGTGAGCGCCCACGCAGCACTCCCGCAAGCTCCCCACGTCCTGTGGAGACAGAGGCTTCGTGAGGTGTTGTGTCCCTTGTCTGGGCAGAGGACACTGGCTCACCGCACATGCAGGTGTGTCCAGGTGAGGCACCAGCTCCTGCCTGCTAGGTAACCACCGCACATTGCTTCACCCGTAAACAGATCACAGGGGATTTATGATAAGCCAAGGAATAAATGTCAGTGCACCTCCAAGCTTGAGAAAGGAAATACTAGCATAGCCAGTAGCCCCATGCTCTATTCCCAGCCCCCCCCCCCCATTTCTCCCCAAGGCATCTGGACAGTTTATCACCCTATAGACCTTGCTCTAGGCCTCTGCCTCAGACTCAGGGGTCCCCGAATGACATGGAGCCTTGGTCGTGGTGGGCTGACTTCTGAATTCCCTGCTCCGTGAAGCAGAGGTGGTGCTGGGCTTCACAAGTGGCACGGAGCCTCAGGTGAATGTGTGAACCCACTGTTACTATTGCGGCTGCGATCAAAGGCTGGTCTCGGGCCCAGTGGACCTGCGAGTCCACATCAGGCCCCAGGCACACTCGGGGGCCTTCAGTTTGGGAGCAGCCCAGCGACCACACGCCCTCTCTGCTGTCTGTCTCGGGCACTTCATGTAGACAGGCACAGAAGCCCAGTGCTGTCCTAGTGCTCCAGACCAGCCCCATACACCCCCCGCCCCGGGCCCGGTGGGCTGTGCTGGTCTTCTCTGCTTCTCTTGACTCACAGCACGCCTTGGCTTGTTGGCCCCACAGCTAACGTCTCGGTTCCCGTCTCAGTGGTGTCTGGATCATTGGATGGGGTTTCCTGGGCACCTGCCATGTGCTGTCACAGCTGGGGCTGCAGCCGGGACTGAGACAGGTGTTTGCAGCTTTCAGCCCCAGGGGAGTGGGCAGAGAAGGCTCCATTCTCTTGACATCTGTACCCCTTGTTACAGGCCTGTTCAGATCTTATTTTTCCTCCTGGGTCTGTCTTCGTAGATTGTTTCAAGGCATTTGGACATGGTCGTTTTTCAAAACTCCAGACTAGGCGTTTTACTGAATGGTCCTCAGCTTGGATGCCTGGTTAGATGCCTTCTTTATGGGACCATTTTCTTTACTCTGATGTGTGGTCCTTAGTGAAACTATCTTTGGAGTACATTCCCTCAGTTTTTGTTTATCTGAAAATATCTCAGATTCTCTCCCATTTCTGAGAGCCGTTCTTCCTAGGAGCACAAGCCTTGATGCGCAGTTGAAGGCTGCCCTCTGCCCTCTGACCTGGGCAGAGTGCTCTGAGTGAGCATCCATTTTCCATTGCTGCGGTGATGAGTTACCACAGTCAAAGGCTTAAAGCATCACAACTTAGGATTTCACGGTGCTCGAGCTTGGAAATCAGAAGTGGGTATGACTGGGTGGGAATCTCGGTGTTGCCACCCACCTTCCTTTCTGGATGCTCTGGAGGAAACCTGCAGACCTCCTACTCTTGATCCACATCTTTCTCCTCTAAGGCCAGCAGTGACTGGCTGGTCCTCCTCGCACTCCATCCTGACTCCCAGTCTTCTGCCTGCTCTTCCACAGAGGAGGGCCCTAGTGGACAGTCTAGGACACTCTTTCCATCTAAGGGCAGTGAATTAGCAGCTTTAATTCTGTTTGTTACATTGATTCCCCTTGGCTATGAAATAGCACATTTGCAGGTTCTGGATGCAGACGTCTTTTAGAGGTCGTTTTTCTGTCCCCACAGGAGGTGATCTGAGTTGTGTCTTCTGGTTGCTATTAGCTTCTCCATCTTTTGTGGTTTTTCTTTGGTGTGTTTAGGTGTGTATTTCTTTCGTTTTAACTTTTTGTTGAAGTTTTAGATGCACACACACAAAAATACACATGTGTATGCATGCACCTGGAAGAATTTTGATGAATTAGACACATCTGTGTCACCAGCACCCAGAACACGTCCCCCAGGGTCACTCTTCCAAGTCGGGATAGGGGTAACCCCTGGAGGCGGGGCTCTGGGGAGCCCCATTATTTGTTCTTGGTGCTGGTATACCTAAGAATGGAATTGTCTAGTCTTAGGGCATAGATACAGTTGTCTTTTTACTTACCATACTTAGAAATATTATGCCTGTTGAATATATAGATTTGTGTCCTGTGAAAATCTTTCAGACATTCTTTGTGAAATATTGCCTGTCCCCTCAGTGGCGTTTTCAGTTGGATGTATGATATTAGATCTTTTCCCTTTTCCTCCTTTTCTTAACCTCTCTTTCATTTCTTCCATCTTCTTTTCTGTACATGGCACGTTCTGGTTACTTTTTCATATCTCTGTGTTCCAGGTCAGTGATTCTTTCTTCAGCTATATCTAATCTACCAGTGAGCTTTTATTTTGACTTTTTTTTTTTTTCATTTTCAAACATTCTATTTGGTCCTGCCTGACCATTTCTGATAGCTTCTTGTTGCTTGCTTGTTAATTTTTTATTTCCATCTTTTATTTAAGTAAACATTTAATAATATTTATCCAAAGTTTTTGTCTGATAATTGCAATATCTGGGATCTAATTCTGTTGTTTTGGCTTCTTCTGACTCTCATAAGTGGTCCTTTCCCACATGTTTTGTGGTGACATTTGATTGTGAGCTCATGCTTACATGATGTTCATCTCTGGGAAACCTGAGAGCTATAGTAGAGGGTTCTCCCAGCAGAAATGGTGTGTTTTGCTTTTGCTAAGAAGACTTGGGAGCCTCTTAGTCTGAGACCACTTTAACCTCTTCCAGGGAACCGGCCCACCACATGCGGCCCTGGTGTGGTTTCTCCACACTGAGGTAGGTGTTGGCCTCAGGGTAACCCCATCTTTGGGTTCCTTTATGTTCACAGCTTTGGTTTCAGCATTCAGGTTTTTGTTTAAGGGCCCCTGGAGGTTTCTATAACCTTCTGTGAGGACACCAGACATTAGATGATCAGCTTTGCACAGGCTCTGGTTGTCTGGTGAATGTGGAGGACTGGGATAAGGCAACCAGCATCTTATTCGAGGTCCAGTAAACAGGAATCCCCCCCCAACACCCCAACCCCGGCACCCATCATGCACACACACACACCTGCCTTGAATCAATTTTGTCTTCCATCCAGAAGCCTGAATGACAGTTCACAGCACAGACCTTGTTTGTGATCACTCTCCTCCTTGAAACCCTCCACGTATTTTAAAATTCCATTGACTTCTATGTCTTCATTTTTCTTTTTAGTTCCTCATGAGAAAAATGAAATCATACTTATGCCTATGAAGGAGATTCTTATGCTTGATATTATAAGAATAATACATTAAACATATGAGGTCATATGCTTTGAGAACTTTTAGATTGAGAAAACTAGAAGCTAATGCCATATAGAGACCTACTGTTTAGGGGAATGTCAGTGTGACCAACATTTATTAAGGATAGATTTTCAGGGCAGCAGGCGTGGGTTTCAAGCTGCCTCCCTGTGATCTTTATTGGTCAATTGCTCATCTGTTGCACATCAATGGAGTTACCGTCCAGGGAGACTAAGAGCATCAGAAGCCAAGGACTCCAGGCAGACTTGGCCTGGGCAGCCTCTGTCAGTACTTGCTTTCTTCTCCTGAAGGTTCCAGATTACATCAGATCACCCTCCGTCCGCTGATGTGGGCATCTTTCCAGTTTCCTCCAGTGCTGACCTTAGGGTGTAGGATAGGGGGCACTCCCCATAGGATTCAGCTTCCTGAGTCCTTGTGTTCCTCAGCTTTGTGCTCAGGATCCCTGGGGGAATTTCCTTGCAACAACCTCCTGAGACTCTCACCCAGCATCTTGCATTGGTGCCAGCTGTGAGCACGCTGACGTTTCAGTGAAGGTAAGGAGATGCAGGAACGGGCCAGCTGTAAACACAGAGAACCAAGGGGCTGAATACGCTAGTCAGTGGCTCTTTTAGGAGCTAAGAAACCTTTGTTTTTCTGTAGCTTATTTCTTGGGAGCTGCAAACCAGAGCAGGTTAACACTGGATGCGGGGAAGGAACTGGTGCTCTGTGTCCTCATCCAGGGAAGGAAAGTGTGGCTGGGGGTCATTGCAAGACCAGACTATGTCGGGTGACCAGCTCCTTGAATTCCCACTCTTCTTTCTTTTTAAAATTTGTCATCCAGAATTGAGTTGGAAAAGCTTTCTGAAGAAAACACACTTTTGAAAACTGAGTTGGGGAGGATTCGACAAGAGCCTGAAGCTTCAGAAAGGACGGAGGCTGCACAGACGTAAGGGCCGGCTTAGTGGTCCCACCCCAACCACCCATCCCAGACGCGGTTTGCTCATCGTAGAAGAAGCTCAGAGGGCATTGCTGTAGAAAGTGGGACATGTTCACAGATAACCCACATTCCAGGAACAGTCAGCAGAGACCTGTGCTGCCCTCCGACCAGCCTTGATGGGCACGGGAGGGCTCAGGTGTCCTACAGAAATACGGCAGAGCGTGGTCCAGGGTCGGAGGAGGCATCCTGCATTCCTGTAGGGCAAGAGGGCCTCTCACAGCCTTCCTGGGCCAGTGGCATCGGTTTGTTCTTGTCCTGATAGTGGTTCCAGCTGTGCTTCCGTCCAAGGTTCATTCCTGGTCTGTGGATTTCAGAGTGTCAGAGTCAGGGGTCTAGGGCAGGGGCCTGAGCACTGAGGCAGGACCTGTGTGTATTGTGGAGGGACACCTGCCAGTGGATTTCAGCTTTCACCATCAGCGCCTCATCTAAGAAGCGTTTGGCTTTTTTTTTTTTTAAATAAAATTCAAATAAGCTCAGCTCTAAACTGCCGAGAATGTGGTTTTGATTTGATAAAAGTGCCTGACGATTAAAGTGTGGAATCCAGAGTGGATGGTCACCCAGTGATCAGTATTACATTACAGCAATTCTGAAATCCAAAAGGTTTCCCTCCAGGAACCAGTTTCCCTAAGTTTTGTGCTGGGACCCTTTTGACAGCAGACGTCAGCAAATGTAAGGCTGTGTTGATCGTCATGTTCTGGGTGTGACGAGCACTCCCATGAGCTAGAGCGAGATTACCATGTGCTGTGCAACTGAGGAATGTCATGGAGGGTTTGTTCTTAGTGCTGGCAGGGTTCCTCTGGTGCCCAGGCTGGGATCCAGTTGACCAGCAGCGGGAACAGTACAGGACAGTGACAGACCCGTGGCTGTAGGGTACTGAGGGCAGGTATACACACCAGCCACCACGGTGACCGTGAGCAATGACTGCTCAGTGATACTGTTAACTTTCCTTCTTCAACAGGAAGGAAATTGAGGTTTTAAAGAGAGACGAGGAAAAGGCCTGCTCTGAGATGGAAGAGCTCTGCACACAGGTTAAGTATTGACCCCTGGCATGAAACAGATGCTTCCCACCCTTTTCCATTGTTTTGAAATAATCTCAACCTAACAAAAAGGAAACACAGAACATTTTTATGAAAGTTACAAGAGTTGCTGGCCCATCAGCCAACTTCCTCTCCAAGTTGGGAAATCAGTGTGGATATGATGGGTTGAGGCCCTGTCAGCCACAATCAGGACCTCGTGTGGCTTCAGTCTGCCTGTCCTTGTTCTTAGGACCTGGTGCATTTGAAGGTTATAAGCAGCTGTTATATGGTGTGTCTAGAACTTATCATTGAATTCAGATTATATGGGGATATCCCCTTCCAATTCCATCCTGTCCAGGGATGCAAGCTTTAGTGACATCCTTAGATTCTCGATCAGGTGGTTTTGGCCAGGCTTCTTCACAAAGTTACTTTCCCTTGGTAACTACTGAACATTTTATGGGAAATTCCTTTGATATGATGTGAATGTTCTGTTCTTCATCTAACTCTCACCCAATTATTCTCCCTGTTTTATTCAATGGGTTATAATATATTACCATCAGTATTTATTTTCATGCTCCATTGTCCCAGATTTGGCCAATAAGAGCCCCCTCCGGGTGAGTTCTGGGCCCTTGAGACAGGTCCTGGTCATTATTTGAGCACTTCCTTACTTTCTAGTGTCCCATAATATTCCAGGTTCATCTGGTACTTCCCTTGCCCCAACCCTGGAAGCAACCATTTCTGCAAGGAATGCTTGGTGACTTTTAGCTCAGAGTGGTACTTGGAGACCAAGATTTGGGTCCTGGGAGTTCACCGCTCCTGGGGCATGACCATGTCCAAATGCAGTTAGTGCATGGAACTAGGGAGTGTATATTTATTATGCTCACATGCACGTGGTTTCAGATTGATTTATTTATACACCTCTCTACTGAAAAAGCATACATTGAAACTCTGCAATTCCAATACTACAAGGATGATTCTAGCTTTCTGTCTTTCTGTATTTATAACTTATTCCTCTAGCAGTGAAAAGCCTGGTCTCCATCATCCTCAGTGACTGGACTTACTGTTTGATCAGTCCCCTTTAGCCTGCACGTGAATGCCCTCTTCACTGTGTTTCAGCATAGCCCATCACGCTGGTCTCCCTCTGCCCCATGAATAAATGCTTTCTGCACTTGGTCTCACTTACTGGCTTTTGTACTGAAGCACACAACTTGGAGGGCTTCCCTTGTGACTCAGCTGGTAAAGAATCCACCTGCAGTGCGGGAGACCTGGGATTGGTCCCTGGGTTGGGAAGATCCCCTGGAGAAGGGAAAGGCTACCCACTCCAGTATTCTGGCCTGGAGAATTCCATGAACTGTATAGTCCATGAGGTTGCAAAGAGTCGGACACAACTTAGCTGCTTTCACTTCACTTCACATAGCTTGGATGTCATTTTTTTATTTTTTAAAAAATTTTTTTAAATTGAAATTATTACTGATAATTGCAGGCCCATGTGGTTATAAGACATGTATTACAGAGGAATACACTTTGTCCAGTTTCCCCCAGTGGTCACATTTTGTGAAACTTTAGTATAGTATCTGTGTTCGTTTGCTGGTGCTGCCATAGCAAAGCACCAGAGACTGAGGGGCTTATACAACAGAAGTTTATTTCCTCACAGTTCTCGGAGTTGGCAGTCCAAGGTGAGGGCAGGGCTGGTTTCTTCTGAGGCCGGTCTCTTTGGTTTGTATACAGTTGTCCTCTCTGTGTCCTCACATGGTCATCCTTCAGATGTGTCTGTGTCGTCATCTTTTATTAGGGCACCAGCATGCTGGATTCATGCGACCTCGTTTTACCTTAATCACCTCTTTCAGGACCCCGTCTCCAGCTGCAGTCCCTCTGTACTGTACTCCAGTTCAGTATTGGAAGTTTGGGCTTCAACATGTGATTTGTGGCGTGAGGGGTCGCAAGTCAACCCTTGATGAGCATTACAGTCAAGCTATTGACGTTGATAGAATCCATAGGTCTTACTTCCCCAGGTTTGGGGGGAGTTGTTCTTTATCTTGGGGGAAGGGCTTCGTTGCCTCACGGCTCGTGGCATCTTAGTTCCCCAACCAGGGATGGAACCCCAGTGTCCTGCCTCGGAAGGCAGATTCTTCACCACGGGCCCACCCAGAAAGGCCGCATGCTTCCACAGCTTTACTTTACTCATGTGGGTGTCAGGTCTACACGGTTTTACTCCCTGTGCAGGTTCATGTCTCCACAACCACAGCTGCAGCTCCACAACGTCCTTCATATTATTCATTCACAACTACATCTTTCTGCCCATCTACCCCAGCCTCAACCCCCGAAAACAACTAACTGTCCTTCATTTCCAAAATTGTGTCATTTCACAAGTGACACAAAAGGAATCATACAGAATGAGATCTTTGTGATTGCCTTTCCTCACATAGCATGATTCCCTGCCGTGCGTCCACAGTTTCTTTCTTCCTGTCGCTGGATGGTATTCCAAGGCATTAATGTCCCATAGCTTGTCTTCACTTCAGTTCAGCTGCTGAGTCATGTCTGACTCTCTCCGACCCCATGGTTTGCGGCACACCAGTCTTCCCTGTCCATCGCCAACACCCAGAGCTTGCTCAGGCTCACGTCCATCGAGTCGGTGATGCCATCCAACCATCTCATCTCTCTGTCGTCCCCTTCTCCTCCTGCCTTCAATCTTTCACAGCATCAGGGTCTTTTCCAGTGAGTCAGTTCTACACATCCAGTGTCCAAAGTATTGGGAGCTTCAGCTTCAGCATCAGTCCCTCCAGTGAACACCCAGGACTGATCTCCTTTAAGATGGACTGGTTGGATCTCCTTTGACTAGACATACCTTTGTCCACTTTTTTGTGTGCTGTCTAGATTGGCCTAGATATATAGGCCAATATAGCTTTCCTTCCTTGGAGCAAGCGTCTTTTCATTTCATGGCTGCAGTCACCATCTGCAGTGATTTTGGAGCCCAAGAAAATAAAGTCTATCACTGTTTCCATTGTTTCCCCATCCATTTGCTAAGAAGTGATGGGACTGGATGCCATGATCTTAGTTTTTTGAATGTTGAGTTTTAAGCCAACTTTTTCACTCTCCTCTTTCACTTTCATCAGGAGGCTCTTCAGTTCCTCTTTGCTTTCTGCTATCAGGGTGGTGTCATCTGCATATCTGAGGTTATTAATATTTCTCCCGGCAGTCTTGATTCTAGCTTGTGCTTCATCCAGCCCAGCATTTCACGTGATGTACTCTGCATATAAGTTAAATAATCAGGGTGACCAATATACAACCTTGATGTACTCCTTTCCCAATTTGGAAACAGCTTGTCTTAATGTTCACCTTTTAAAAGATGGCTGGGCTGATTCCAGTTTTGGGCTGTCACAGAAGCTGCAATGAACATTCCTATGCAGGTCTTTGTGTGGATGTAGGTTTTCATTTCATAGGATGAATGCCCAGGAGAGCAATTGCTGATCTGTACCTCAGTTGCATGTCTAGTTTTATATGAAATTGCCCAGCTGTTATCCAGAGCGGCTACTAAGAGTTTATGTTCCTGCCAGCAGTGTATGCTAGGTCCAGTTGGCCCACATCCCTGTCCACACTGGGTATTGTCACTCTTATTTTAGCCACTCCAGTAGGTGAGTGACCCTGAGTCAGAACAGCTAGAGCGGCTCTAGTTGGTTATCCCCTTCCCCTCACTGGTTCCTGCCTGGTAGAGAAGGAGGTTTCCCTTGAGGGCAGAGAGCAGAACACTCTGTGTCTTCAGAACAGTCTCTGTCCTAGTCTGCTCGGGCTCCATACAGAATGCCACAAGCAGGAGGCTTAAACTACAGGATTTTGTTGTCCCAAGGTTCTCAAGGTGAAGATCAAGGCGGGGCTGGCTTGGTTCCCATGAGGCTCTTCCACGCTTGTGGGCAGCCCCCTCTCACTGTGTCTCCTTATAAAGTCACTGTCCCGTTGGATTAGGACCCCACCTTGTGAGCACATTTAACCTTAATGACCTGCTAGCAGCCTTGTCTCCAGACAGTGGTGACTTTGTGGACCCAGTTCTACCCACAGCAGCCACTCTGTTAAGGCCTCCAGCCTTTGACTCCTGGTGAGCTGTGACGCTCTTTGCCTGTTTTTCTTTCCGGTTTTCAGAACATTGGTTTGCCCTGTGACTTCAGTTCTCTGATGGATCTCAGAAGAGTTGTTGACTCTCAGTTACTCAGCTTTTTCTTTGTTCTTGTTGGGAGTGACAACTTTCAAACTCTTTCCAGGCGAGGGCAGAAATGGCGTTTTGTTTGCACGTGGGTTTCTGCACGTTTACTGTCAGGACATAAAGCATAGTAGATTTTCACCTGCCGACCTTGTGTCGTTGCTGGGTTCCCACTCACTCTGGGAGTGCTTTTGTCGCCTCTGGTTCCTCAGAGACCCGCAGTTCCCATCTGCCTCTTCCCACCGCTTCCTGCCTACCCCCCAAGCCTGGCTGATAAGGTGGGAACACCCACCCTGGGGCAACAGTGATGCACCCGCCTAACTGTGCATGAACCCTGCTCCGAGGCACAGAGTGCTTCAGACCCTCAGCCTCCGGAGCAATTGCTAGGGAAAAGCAGAGGAGCAAAACATGGTTTGTGTGAAGGTGTGTGACAGACGGTTGGAGATAATGAGCTTCCTATGTCACCTGCTGGCTGCTGTTTATCCCAGGCCACACCGCCAGCGTCCAGCATCCACTGTCTGCCAAGTGGGTGATTTCATCAGTGTGCTGTGTTTAATGACAGTGATCAGATTGTTGAAGAGAATCACGAGCCTTAGGTTTAGCTAGGGTTTTTGTTTGTTTGTTTGTTTTCCTTCAACATGTGTAAAATAATGTCATAGACAACCGTGGGAGAAACGAGAAAATTATGCCAGTTCTCCAAAGCAGTGATGGGATGTTGATGGGGTGTGAGCTCTCCTGATGGGGTGTGAGTGCTCCTGGTGCCCAGCATTTGGTTCTTGAGGGATGGATCAGAGTTCATCCTCTGCGTGGTGGCCTGAGAGCCCATCACTCTGGGGACACTGAGCAAGCGCCTCATCCACTAGTTGCTGATAGCAACCCCGCCCCCAGCTGTGATGACCAAAATGGTCTCCAAAGATTGCTAAGCATCCCCTGGGGAGAAGAGTGTCCTAGTTGAGGACCCCTGGGATGCTGCTGGCTTAACAAAATAACTTGTCTACCTGTGTTTTCTCCCTTTTTGTTCCAGAGTCACAAGTGTAGGGATGAACTGTCCCAGCTCAACACAGGGTCCTGCAGCTTGGAGAGGAGGCCTCTACCCACCAGGCCCAAAGAGAGAAGAATCACGTCACTGTCCAGCTGCTGACATACAGACTAGAGGAGGCCGAACTCCGGGAGGAGCTGCAGGTGAATTGTGGGTGGGGCAGGGAGGGGCAGGCAGCCTGGCCTAAAACAGACCAGGGACAGCCCTGATGTGCCTGGAGGTAAAGCGAGGGGCTTCTCAAGCAAGCGCTGAAAAATGTGTGAACTTTAGCAGCTTTTGCAAAGCCTGATACTTAGAGAAAGTAGCAGAAAGAGATTAAATCCTGATGATAGGAGCCTAAATTGGGATGACCTCTCCAGAGGTCATTATGGCAAAACATACATCAAGAGTGGTCAAGAACGTTGGTGTGCCCTGACTTCATGATTCTGCTGTGGGAACTTTACTGAACATTATCTGTGGACTTAGCTGAACCTGTTTTCATTCCGCTGGTGCTTATAATAGCACAAAAGAACTGGAATCAGCTTTGAATCATCAACCATATTGACTAAGCCAGTAAATTATGGTGGCGCCATTAAAAACCACATTTTTGAATAGTTTCTAATGCTCTGGACATTATAAGAGAGAAAGCGTGGCCTACGATGTCGTGGTGGCAGTATGTGTGTGTGGAGGAAGGGCCAGGATGTACAGCACGTCGGGTGTGCTGCGATCAGGGATGACAAATTTTGTAATTCTTGCCTTTCTGAAGTTTCTGCATTAAACATGTATCACATTGCTAATGTTCTTCTTACACTTGTGAAACCGACATTTAAAAACAGGGTAACGAAATCCAAAAACTTGAACTTGAACTTGACTGCGTGACTCAGGAACGTCAGAGCCTGAGACTGGCCCAGTCACAGCTGAGAGAAGCCCTTGAAGAGAGTCGGGACCAGGTGGGTGTGCATGGGGGTCCCGGGCTGAGAGGGGTCAGCCTCGCCTCTGACCGCCTGCATGGGACTCGTCTGGCCAAGGGTGTCACGGGGCTGGCTGAGGTCACACGGCTAGGGGGGGCGCCCTCCAGGCCCAGGACTCAGTCAGGCCCCGTCCACGGTCAGGTGGAACACGCGTGAACCGTGTGAAGGGCTGTGCCTGTTTGCTCCCGAGGGCAGGAGTCCATACAGCTGCTCTGGGCGTGCCCTCTGCAGGTGGAGGAGCCAGGGAGCACAGCAGGTGGCCGCCGAGGCCCAGGCCGTGGGCGGTGCAGCCCCCGAGGTGACCAGCTCCTGGCCCCCAGCGGAGCCCGGGTGTGACACGCCTGTGGGTGTGCGCCCACTGCCCTGCCCAGCACTTGTCCGGTGCCTGCCAGGCTCAGAGGTGCAGCGGTGGGGAGGCAGGGAGTTCGTGGGCTGGGACACACAGATGTGAGCCGAGCAGGCCCAGGAGGGGTGGCGGTGCCTGCCAGCGTGAGGTGCTGGGACACAGGGCTGGTTCTTCCGAGCAGCTCGAGCAGGAGGAGAAGAGGGAGGTGACGGTGTGACATGGGGTGCGCTTGGAGGGCCAGGGTCTGCAGGGGGAAGGGGCTGTGAGAGAGGGCCCCTACGCCTTGTGTCTCTGCTCAGCCTGGCACCAGGTTCCCCACCCCTGGACTTAGCTTTGGACACCTGGTGGCCTGGGTTGCAGAAGGGTCTGTCTGCATGTGGGACTCCTCTCTGTCCAGGGTCTGAGGAGGGGCTGGCAGACGCCTGTGGGCCCAGCCCCCCACTGTCAGCAGGCACTTTCTCCAAGGTGTGTCTGTGTATTGGTGGCTCCCTTCCCGGTTTGTAGTGCAGAAGGAACCTTGAGAAATTGCTGGACTGGTTTGAGCCTTTGAGGCGAAGAAGACAGACCCACCCATGGGGAGCAGGGCTGGGCTGCCAGAGGCTTCCATGCCCCGTGAGGTGGGGGGATGCCCAGCAGTCAGCCGCTGTCACAGGCAGGAGGAAATGCTGTGAGGCAGCTGGTGTCACCTTTGTGAGTTAGATGAGGATCCCCCGAGACACGCCTGGATGAAAGTGTGAAGATGGTGTAAGGTTCTCACAGGGCATCTAGGGACGGTTGGGGGTTGCAGAGGTGAGGGTGCATCCAGAGCCGTGGGGAGGGAGTGCTCCTGAGGTCACGGGGCCCACAGGGGAGCCTGGCATCGAGAAGGGCGCTTACACAGGCAGCGTCCTGGGGTGCTGTGGATGGGGGGCCCTGCCCCGGCCTCTCTGTGGCATCGGGTCCTCGTGGCGTGGCAATGAAGCGCCCAGCAAGGGCAGACAATCATCTGGTCTTCTGAGCACTGTGCCGGGGGGTCCCTTAGCATCACTGTCTCACATTTGGCCAGGCCAGCCTGGATTCAGGGTGGAAAGGTCCGCCGTTGTCTGAGGGGCTCACTGCCCCACCCCAGCACCCAGAACACGGAGGCCCTGGCTTCCTGGTTGCAGGGGCCCCACTTCTCTTCTGGGGACGTCCTGCCTTCTCATATTGCGGTCGAGCAGGGCTCTCAGGAGTGGGCCTACCCTCCATCTACACCTCGCTTTATAAGGAGGGCCTCAGGGGCACTCAGCTGGGCTGTGCTGAAATTCTGCCTGGCCAAGGAGAGTGGACGGCAAGGCCTGTGGTCAGGCTTCAGGGCTCAGCACAGCATCAGCTGCAGGAGGCAGCAAGGCACCCAGGCAGATGTGCGGGACTCAGACATGGGCTGGAGTAGACTGCATAGTGATCATCCGAAGTATTTTCTTCATGACCTCGTCACGGGCGGGACCTCCCATAATGGCTCCCAGCACCCGGCCTGCCCTCAGCAGGGCCCCTGATGGAGCCGCCACCTCTCCCATCCATGAGGTCTCAGAGGGCAGTTCTGTGTGCTCCTGATGAGGCCGCCGGAGCCCGTGGTGGAAACAGTGTTTAGATAGCCTCCCAGGCGCTCCGTGCAGGGAAAGCTCTGGACAGCCTAGTGCCAGTGATCCTGTGGGTTCTGTGCCCAGGGAGCAGTGTCCCAGTCCTTCCACATCCACGCCCCTCCAGACGCTGTGCAACCACCTCCAGGGCCCTGGCCACAGCCCGTCTCAGGAGCGTGAGCTCTACATTTAGAGGGAGGCTGTGTACGCGGCTGGTGTGGGTCCCATTATGGAAGGAATTAAACCCAGCGATGAACCCAGGAGGTAAACAGGACAGAATAACTTGATCCTCCCAGGATCCGGTATGAGGTCACTGAGAGGGCTACAGGCAGGGCTCCCAGGCTCTCAGGGTGCAGAAAAGCCCCTGAATGGAGTTTGTGTTAGTCGCTCGGTCCTATCCGATTCTTTGTGACCCCATGGACTTTAGCCTGCCAAGCTCCTCTGTCTGTGGGATTCTCCAGGCAAGAATACTGGAGTTGGTTGCCATCCCCTTCTCCAGGGGATGTTCCCAACTCAGGGGCCAAATCCACGTATCCTGTGTCTCCTGCATTGCAGGCGGACTGTTTACCGTCTGCACTACCAGGAAACGGAGTGTGGCATAAGATAAGCGGATTCTTTAGAAACCGTGGGCTTTTCTGGACAGGCCCTTCTCCTTTGGGATGGCCTACCAGGTAGAGATGCAGTTTTCTGTGTCTGGTGGTGACCAGTCACCCCACAACTGCTTGCCTTTTCCTCGGCAGCTGTATGGAGTCACCCAAAGGCTGTGGCTGTCCCGGTCCCAGCACGCCCAGTGGATGCGGCAGCGGCAGGAGGAGATGGCACAGCGTGTGCCCACAGGCCGCGTGGCCGAGCTGCAGCAGCTGCTGGAAGGGGAATAGCGGGCGGCTCAGCAGCTCCAGGAAGAGGCGCGGGTGAGTGAGGACAGGGCTGGGGGACAATCTGGGACTGACGGGGAGGGTGAGGTAGGATCTCAGGTGCAAAGGGGAGAACGGCCCGACAGCCCTCTCACCATGTGGGATGTTTACGGAAGCCACGGGATCCAGCTTCCACTGGGAACTGGTGGGTGCTGAGTGGCCGACCCTGACGTCCCCCAACCTGTTTTCTGGGCTGCATGTGTTTGCAGCCAGCCACACACATGACCTGCTTCCAGGTCTGAAAGGTGGTGATAGAAGGGCACCAGTAGAGGGATGGACAGGGATAGCTCTTCAGGAGTGCATGGAGGTGCAAAGGTCCTGAGGTGGGCTGTGTTTGGCATGCATAACAGCAGCAAGGGGTGTGGAGATGGTTGGACAAGAGGTCAGCACAGTGGCATCACGGACTTGGGGAGCCCTGCTGTGTGCCAGCCCCTCATGTAGAAAGAGAGTTGCTGCCTTAAAACGGCAGCAGATCAGTGGCTCAGAGCATGCACTGCAAGGGACTGGATCCTGGTTCCACCACCTGAGCTGAGTGATTTAACTGAGTGAGCAATTTAACTCTCTGTGCTTCCATTTCTTTCAACCTCTGGTGGCAGTGGTTGCCACCTCAGAGCAGTCTCTCAGGCATCAGTGAGTGAGCACCTGGAAGCGCGAGCCTGGGAAGCATATTTGGGTCCTTAAAGTTCATGGGTCAGTGGGAGGGTGAGGAGGGGCAGAGGGCCAGGTGCCTTCCTGAGGAAGGAATTTGTGCAAGATTGGAAAGGTGGGTAAAATCTGACATGTATAAAACACAAATTCTAACGAAGAACAGCCTTATAGCATTATGCAGACACATTGTGCTGGAGAGACATTTAAGCTAGGACAGATTATTGACAAAGGAAATTTAGTCAGTGATCCTCTAGAAAGACTACCATGTTTGGGGAAACTCGCCTTTGAGTCATCTAGGATTAAGATCCTTGGACAGGAGTCTCTTATCTGCTCACACTACAGTGAGAAATGAAGCTTTGTGGCTTGTGAGACATTTCTAACCATTGGTCCCTATGGATGAAAGGTTAGCCAGATGCTCAGATTTTGTACACTTCAGCTGATTTCCATTCTAAAGTAAATAAGCCTGAGATGATTCTTTTTAAAATGTACCGTGTTGATCTCTAACCTCCTCTTGTTCAGGAAGCACATGAAAAACAGCTGAAAGCAACAGAAGAGCAGGTGGAGGAGGTGGAGATGATTTTGAAGAAGATGGAAGTGCTCCTCCAAGAGAAAGTGGGTGAGCTGAAGGAACAGGTGAGTGACGGACGCCTTTGGGCATCCGGGTAGCTAATGAGGGAGACAGGATCCAAGAGAACCCTGTGTCCTGCGGAAGTGCTGAGGAGGGGAGAGGAGGGCAGGGAGAGAGGGGAGAGTGAGGCCTTGCTGTCGTGTGAGGTCTGCTTGGTGCTCCAGGAAGTGAAATGTGAGCATCTGTGGAAATACTTCTCTTACACAGGGATTGAATGTGGTTTATCTGGAGCGCCCTGGGCCGCGGTTCCCCAGGTCTAGTCTCTCTGTGCAGGCTGCCCGCTCCAGACCCCCACTCCCCATCTGTGTAACCCCTGTCCTGCCGGCACCACCACCCTCCAACCTTGTTTGTCCCCAGGTCCTCACTTTCCTTCCCAGCCTTCAGGCTCTTGGTGACCCCTCTACGCCCCAGTCACTCTTGGCAAAACCTCAACCCCAAGTAAATCTTGAGGCTCCTGCATGCCAGGGGTGGAGGTATGGTGGACTGTCCCAACTGCCGCCTTTCCCCCACACCCCCTCTCTGGGGGGCCCTTCCTCTCCGCCTCTGACCCCCAGCCCCTGTCCCCTCCTCTCAGCTGTGACTTGGGCTTGTGTCCCCGTGAGACCAGAAGGTCCCGGAGAAGTGGCCGTGCTCTAGCTCCCCCAGCCCCGCTTCCGACGCCCCTTCTCCGGTCTCCTCGGCACGCCTTCAGGAGCCTGGTCCTCCCAGCGTGTTCTCTGCCCCCTTGACAGGCACCCCTTCCGAGGTCTCTGCTCCCAGCCGCCCGCCCACCTAGGGGCCCGTCTCATTCTTCAGCGCGGCCCTTGGTGCAGAGCAGAGCTCCCATCGCCCGCTCCACCGTCTTTTGGGTCCTGACAGCTGGGGTGCTCATCTCCCCTGCCAGCCCCTCAGCGCAGCAGTCATCCTCAGATATGTCGGAGCTGCCTGCCTTCCTCAGAGCTTCTCCGGTGGCCTCGAGATTCTGCAGGACCTGGACCCCTTCCCTGGGCCCTTGCCCAGCTGGCACGGCGGCTCTGCCTTCCTCACGGGCCTCCTGGCCGTTCCTGTCACCCCCGCATGTGCCGGCCTCTGCCCGGGAGGTCTACCCAGGCAGCCTCCCCGATGCCCCCCATGCTCCTCTCAGGGCTGTCTGCTCACCTCAGGCGCACCGTGTGTCCCCCGCCTGGGTTCTCTGTGAACACGCCGGCTGACCCTGCGTGCTCTGCTGGCTCCTCCCGTTCGAACGCGTGCCTGTGGGAGCAGGGCCGCGGCCGGCAGCACTTGGCCTGCAGAGCTGCTCAGTAGCTGCTTGAGTGCGTGAACTCAGCGCGGACTCTCAAAGCCCAAAGCCGGGACCCCTGCGTCTTTGCATCTTGACCGTGTATCCTGTGTCCCCGTCGCTGGAGCCCCTGTGGGTGTTGTGTGGGCGGCACCCAAGGAGCCTCGGCGTCTCCTGCTGACACGGTGGGCCTGCAGGGCCCGCTGAGATAAGCCAAACAGTTCGGGTGCTCCTGACAGTTTCCTCGTTGTCTTTTGGAGGCCTCCAGATTTGGGTCTTCTTGTCTTCATTCCGTGGGTAACTCTGTATAAAGGTGGCTTACATTTTCTCTACCACATAGTTCGTCAGTTTCCTCTCTCATGCCAGGATAACAAAACCTGTCATTGCATCCACCATGTCTCTGATTTGTAAGGTTCCCCAGACTGGTCTGAATGCGTGTGGAGGAATAGGAAGGGAGAGCTGGTGGCGTGGCATTGCGTGCCTGCGTTAGACGTGCAGTACACGGTGGCTTTCTCCCCTCTCCAGTTTGAAAAGAACACACAGTCAGATCTGCTGCTCAAGGAGCTCTTTGTGGAAAATGCCCACCTGACAAAAGCACTTCAAGTCACTGAAGAGAAGCAACGAGGTGCCAAGAAAAAAATCCCAATTCTTGGAAGGAAAAGGTAGAGTTCTCAGCAATCTCCTCAGCAAGATTGCTACAGCGTCCCTCGCTGTGTAGACTGCTTTTCTTCCTGGCGTTCATTTTGAAAGAACGTATTTTAAAGTAAATCGGTGTGACACCATAACTTACGGTGGCTCGTTGGCTGTACACCCCTGGCTAGATGAGGATTGTCATTCTGTTTACCCCACAAGCATTTAATGAAGGTCTGTGTGCCAGATGCTGGGGAAACACGTTGGAAAAGACGATTTTATTTTTAGTGGTCCTTGGGCAACTTCCAGAGTTACATTCTTAATTTTGCTACTGAAAAACAAACCAGATTATGGGGTTCTCAGCAAGGTAAATGGTAAAATAAAGCAATTTTAATCTTGTACTTCTGACCTTGGCTACAGAGATTAAAATGCAACGTCGGGGTTCTGTAGTTTTACCATTGCACTGTTAGTGCAATGGGTTTAGTCTCTGGCATTCTCGATCGATATAGACACTCCAGAAACGCTACACTTTCTGTGACTTTCAACTGGCAATAAGGGATAGAGTCACTGTATTTGCAATAAAATCCTTCTCTAGTAAAACCAATTAACTTCTAAATATTTTTTAAACTAAAATATTTCAAAGATACAGAAAAGTAGTTCTATAGGAAACATTCATATGTATTACATAAACATGCAGATGTGTTAAGAACATTGTTACAACATCTTGGACAGAAGCCCCGTCCCTGTTCTACTGCAGCCAACCTCTTTCCTCTTCCTGGTGGCAATGGCTCTCCTGAAGCTGCTGCACGCCCCCTCCCCTCCATCTGTCTGCACATTTACTGTACATGCTTGAGTGAGAAAAACCTTAAACCGCTGGAAGAGATGGAAAGCTCAGATCTGGGGTAGAAGGACTCAACAACATAATGTGGACTCCTCTCCATGCACATATGGTTGCTTAACCTATGAAAAAGAGGCGAGGATGGACAGTAGGGAAAACCCTCTTCAATAAGTGATGCTGGGAAATCTGGACAGCTCCGTAAAAGAATGAAATTAGAACATTCTGTGATACCATACACAAATGTATACTTGAAATGCATGAAAGACCTACATGGAAACTTTTAGAGGAAAACATAGGCTGAACACTCTTTGAGGGAATTCTCTGGCAGTCCAAGGGTTAAGACTCGGCACTTTCACTGCTGTGGGCCTGAGTTCGATCCCTGGTCAGGGAACTAAGATCCCACAAGTTGCATGGCACAGCCAAAAAAAAAAGCACTCTGACATAAATTGCAGAAACATCCTTTTTGATCCATGTCTTAGAGTACTGAAAATAAAAGCAAAAATAAACACATGGGACTTAATTATACTTAAAAGCTTCTGCACACCAAAGGAAACAATAAACCAAACACAAAACTAACAGAGAGGGAAAAAATATTTGCAAAGGAAGCAACTGACAAGGGATTAATCTCCAAAATATACAAATAGCTCATGTAACTCTATGTCAAGAAAATTAGAATAACCAGAATCCCAATTTAAAAGTTGGCAAAACAAATAAATAAAAATACAAAATAGAAATGGGCAGAATACTGTAATAGACAGTTCTCCAAAGAAGACATACAGATTGCCTGTAGGCACATGAAATGATGTCCATCATCACTGATTATCAGTGATATGCATGACAGAACTGCAATGAGGTATCACATCACACTGGTCAGAATGGCCATCATCCAAAAGTCTACAAATAATAAAAGCTGGAGAGGATATAGAGTAAAGGAAACCATTCTACATTATTGGTAAAACTGTAAATTGGTACAGCCACCATGGAGAACAGTATGGAAGTTCCTTAAAAAGATGAAAATGCAATAGAACTACTGTATGATCCAGAAGTCCCACTCTGGGGCGTATATCTGGAGAAAAGTAATTCAAAAAGATACACATATTCCAGTGTTCATTCCAAACTCCCTTTCCTTCCAAGGTTGCCACATACCATTGAGCAGAGTGGCCCATGCTATACGGTAGGAAAGATGATTGAGTTTTCAACCTTGGATCCATCACTTACTGTCAGATGGCTTTGGTGAGGCTACTTAACCTTCTCTGAGGGGAGCAGCTACTCAGCTTCTGCTGGAGGAACCAGGAGATGGGTTCCCCTCTGTCCCCTCCCCAGCAGCACATGCCTTGGCCCTGGTCCACTGATACTTTGTCTTGTCCAGGCAGAAATGTTTAAGCCTGAGTCCTGCTCCTCTTCAGTCGAAAACCTTCATCATTAGCCTTCCTCTACTCACCATCCTGGGGTCTGGGGCCTGGTGCCCACCTGTCCCAGGCCCATTGCCTCCTGGCCTCCTGCCCACTCTCCAGAGCAGCTGGACCCCTCCTTTCTCCCCAGCCTTGCCTTGCTTATACCTAATGTCCACCCTTACTAGACTAGCTTTCCACCTAGTGATGGCACGTCCCTGATTCTGCAGAAACAGTGAAAATGTACAAATTAATAAGAGTCGTGATTGCTGCCACATGTACACTTAACAAAATGCCCCTTCACTCTTCCTGATAACCTCCAGCACCCACAGCTTCATAAAGTGATGTTGGGATGAGACAATTGAGGCTGAGGGTTTAAACTTAATATTTGAGCTGGGATTTGCACACGCACAACCTGCCTGCCACCAAAATCTAACTCTTTCTGCTGCACCCCTTGGTTTTTCTTTATCACTGTGGGGGTTAGTTGATATTAGTGCCAGATCAGTGCTGGAACATCCTTGCTGGGTGTGACCTATCCCTCTTCCTCCCCAGGCAAACAGTCTAATTTGTGGGGTGAGATCACAGTGGACAGGAGATAGATACATGGATCCATAGACAAATGGAGAGAATAAATTGGTTGAAATATATGAGGCTCATTTTGGGGCAGAGCCAGAGTAATAATTCAAAAGGATTCCAGCATCCTGAGCTTTGCCTTATCCACATACTACTTACTATGATCTCTCTTCTCAATGCTGAGGGCCCAGACATGGCCTTTGGGTTCTGCACTCCTACAGATGTGGTTTATTTAAGCATCTGAATGCCAGCACCCCACTTTCCTTTAGAGAGATTTCTTGTGCTCTGACAGCTTCAGAAATTAACCAGGGAGCCGATGTGGACACAGCAGCCCAAGCACTGCTTGGAGCTGCAGGCTGCACTTGCCTGGATCCTGGAGAAATTATTCTCCCATCCCTCAGCCTCATTCACAGGCTGAAAACAGCCCCAGGGCCCATCCATGCCCATGACAAAGAATCCTCTCTCTCCGCCCCAAACACACCCAGGTTCAGACCTGGGCCAGTTTCACCACCTTTCAGGTTGGCTGTTGCCTGTCCTCTGATTTCAGTGTTGACCGTCTGGTGATGTCCATGTGTAGTGTCTTCTCTTGTGTTGTTGGAAGAGTGTTTGCTATGACCAGTGTGTTCTCTTGGCAAAACTCTATGAGCTTTTGCCCTGCTTCATTCTATACTCCAAGGCCAAATTTGCCTGTTACTCCAGGTGTCTCTTGACTTCCTACTTTTTCATTCCAGTCCCCTAGAATGAAAAGGACAACTTTTTTGGGTGTTAGTTCTAAAAGGTCTTGTTAGGTCTTCATAGAACCATTCGACTTAAGCTTCTTCAGCATTACTGGTTGGGGCATAGGCTTGGATTACCATGATATTGAATGGTTTGCCTTGGAAACGAACAGAGATCATTCTGTCATTTTTGAGACTGCCTCCAAGTACTGCATTTCAGACTCTTGTTGACCATGATGTCTACTCCATTTCTTCTAAGGGATTCCTGCCCACAGTAGTAGATATAATGGTCATCTGAGTTAAATTCACTCCTTCCTGTCCATTTTAGTTCGCTGATTCCTATAAGTTTGACGTTCACTCTTGCCATCTCCTGTTTGACCACTTCCAATTTGCCTTGATTCATGGACCTAATGAATTATCCTATGCAATATTGCTCTTTGCCGTATCGGACCTTGCTTCTATTCGGTCACATCCACACCTGGGCATTGTTTCTGCTTTGGCTCCATCCCTTCACTCTTTCTGGAGTCATTTCTCCACTGATGTCCAGCAGCATATTGGGCACCTACTGACCTGGGGAGTTCCTCTTTCAGTGTCCTGTCCTTTTGCCTTTTCACACTGTTCACGGGGTTCTCAAGGCAAGAATACTGAAGTGGGTTGCCATTCCCTTCTCCAGTGGACCACGTTCTGTCAGACCTCTCTACCATGACCCGTCTGTCTTGGGAGGCCCCATGTGGCATGGCTTAGTTTTTTTGAGTTAGACAAGGCTGTGGTCCGTGTGATCAGATTGGCTAGTTTTCTGTGATTATGGTTTCAGTGTGTTGGCCCTCTGATGCCCTCTCACAACACCTACTGTCTTACTTGGGTTTTCGTACCTTGGACGTGCAGTATCTCTTCATGGCTGCTCCAACAAAGTGCAGCCACTGCTCCTTACCTTGGATGAGGAGTATCTCCTCATGGCCCCTCCTGACCTTGAACGTGGAGTAGCTCCTCTCGGCCCTTCTGTGCCGACGCAGCTGCCGCTCCTTGGACGTGGGGTTTCTCCTCTCAGCCGCCTTCCCTGACCTCGGACGTGAGGTAGCTCCTCTCAGTCAGCAAACACAGGACCGGGAGCTGACTGTGGGTCAGATCATGAACTCCTTGTTGCCAAATTCAGACTTAAATTGAAGAAAGTTGGGAAAAGCACTGGACCATTCAGGTATGATCTAAATCATATTTCTTAGGATTATACAGTGGAAGTGAGAAATAGATTTAAGGGACTTAATCTGATAGAGTGCCTGATGAACTATGGATGGAGGTTCATGACATTGTACAGGAGACAGGGATCAAGACCATCCCCATAGGAAAGAAATGCGAAAAAGCAAAATGGCTGTCTGAGGAGGCCTTACAAATAGCTGTGAAAAGAAGAGAAGCGAAAAGCAAAGGAGAAAAGGAAAGATATTTGCATTTGAATGCAGAGTTCTAAAGAATAGCAAGGAGAGATAAGAAAGCTTTCCTCAGCTATCAATGCAAAGAAATAGAGGAAAACAACAGAATGGGAAAAACTTGAGATCTCTTCAAGAAAATTAGAGATACCAAGGGAACATTACATGCAAAGATGGATAAATGGTATGGTCCTAGCTAACAGAAGCAGAAGATATTAAGAAGAGGTGGCAAGAATACAGAGAAAGAATGTACAAAAAAGATGTTCACGACCCAGATAATCACGATGGTGTGATCTCTCACCTAGAGCCAGACATCCTGGAATGTGAACTCAGGTGGGCCTTAGAAAGCGTCACTACGAACAAAGCTAGTGGAGGCGATGTAATTCCAGTTGAGCTATTTCAAATCCTGAAAGATGATGTTGTGAAAGTGCTGCACTCAACATGCCAGCAAATTTGGAAAACTCAGCAGTGGCCACAGGACTGGAAAAGGTCAGTTTTCATTCCAATCCCCAAGAAAGGCAATGCCAAAGAATGTTCAGACTACTGCACAATTGCACTCATCTCACCCACTAGTAAAGTAACGCTCAAAATTCTCAAAGCCGCGCTTCAGCAATACGTGAACTGTGAACTTCCAGATGTTTAAACTGGTTTTGGAAAAGGCAGAGGAACCAAAGATCAAGTTGCCAACATCTGCTGGATCATAGAAAAAGCAAGAGAGTTCCAGAAAAACATCTATTTCTGCTTTATTGACTATGCCTCAGCCTTTGACTGTGTGGATCACAATAAACTGGAAAATTCTGAAAGAGACGGGAATAGCAGACCATCTGCCCTGACTCTTGAGAAACCTTATATGCAGGTCAGGAAGCAATAGTTAGAACTGGACATGTACCAACAGACTGGTTCCAGACAGGAAAAGGAGTACGTCAAGGCTGTATATTGTCACCCTGCTTATTTAACGTATATGCAGAGTACATCATGAGAAATGCTGGGCTGGAAGAAGCACAAGCTGGAATCAAGATTGCTGGAAGAAATATCAGTAACCTCAGATATGCAGATGACACCACCCTTATGGCAGAAAGTGAAGAGGAACTAAAAAGCCTCTTGATGAAAGTGAAAGAGAAGAATGAAAAAGTTGGCTTAAAGCTCAAGATTCAGAAAACTAAAATAATGGCATCTCGTCCCATTACTTCATGGCAAATAGATGGGGAAACAGTGGCAGACTTTAGTTTATTGGGTTCCAGAAACACTGCAGATTGTGACTGCAGCCATGAAATTAAATGATGCTCACTCCTTGGAAGGAAAGTTATGACCAACCTAGATAGCATATTAAAATCAGAGACATTACTTTGCCATCAGAGGTTCAGCTAGTCAAGGCTATGGCTTTTCCAGTGGTCATGTATGGATGTGAGAGTTGGACTGTGAAGAAAGCTGAGCGCCAAAGAATTGATGGTTTTGAACTGTGCCGTTGGGGAAGACTCTTGAGAGTCCCTTGGACTGCAAGGAGATCCAACCAGTTCATCCTAAAGGCGGTCAGTCCTGGGTATTTCTTGGAAGGACTGATGCTGAAGCTGAAACTCCAGTACTTCTGCCACGTCATGCGAAGAGTTGACTCTTTGGAAAAGACCCTGATGCTGGGAGGGATTGGGGGCAGGAGGAGAATGGGACGACAGAGGATGAGATGGTTGGATGGCATCGCCGACTCGATGGACATGAGTTTGAGTAAACTCTGGGAGTTGGTGATGGACAGGGAGGCCTGGCGTGCTGCGATTCATGGGTTCTCAGAGATCTGGACATGGCTGAGTGACTAAACTGTTGCCTGTCCTGCAGTATCACAAATGATAGATTTATATTACACTGTGAGTTTGGATCAGAATGTGCTCTTGAGCCAATGCGTGTTCCCTGCTTCTTCCCAGCCTCAGCCACTAGCTGGGAAGAGAAAAAAAACTCATTGCTCTTTCCTGGGAGCCAGGATGAGGCAGGTTGAACGTGCACTCCAGTTGTTCTCCACACCTGGGATACATTTAATCATAGCACAGTGTCCGCTGCGCAGACACATGGTGAGGGAGTCCCCTCACCGTGGGGAAGTGACAACAGCCCGTGACTGCATGCACGCCAACCTGCCCCCTCCCCATCTGTGGGGACAGACAAGTGACTGAGGGTCTTGAGCTCTTTTTTCCTCCAGTGAGGATCCAGCTCGTGGCCTCACCACATGATGTTTATACCCTGGTAATGTCACTGGCAGCTCTCTGAACCTTACCATCTGGCACCCATGACCTGAAGTGCTGAGAGCTCTCCCCCTTCACCTGTAGGCAAGCTGTTTGATTTCGGCTCCTCTGGACTCCGGTGGCAGAGAGGAGAACAGTTCCATAGAGTGAGGAAGCAGAATATTGGCTGTGGCGAGGAGGAGAGCGTGGGGCTGGGCAGCTCCTTCAGGGTGTTTGGTTCTGGGTTGAGAATCATTCAGGCTGCAGATGAAGGGGGCAGCGTAGTTGAGGGAGAGATTTGTTTTTGTTTTTGTTTTTGTTTTTTTAATATATTTTGAACTGAAGGATAATTGCTTTACAGTATTGTGTTAGTTTCTGCCAAATATCAGCGTGAATCAGTCACAGGACAGAGGGCTTCTTCTTTTTTAAAGATGGCAGCCATCTTGTTCAAAGCCTCTTGGTCCCTGCTTTTCGTACTATGAGACGCTGTTTTCCCAAACAAGACTAGCTTCCCTGTTAGCTCAGTTGGTAAAGAATCCACCTGCAATGCAGGAGACCCTGGTTTGATTCCTGGGTCAGGAAGATCCTCTGGAGAGGGGATCAGCTACCCACTCCAGTATTCTTGGGATTCCTTGGTTCTTAGCTGGTAAAGAATCTGCCTGCACTGCGAGAGACCTAGGTTCTATCTCTGGATTGGGAAGGTCCCCTGGTGAAGGGAACGGCTACCTACTTCAATATTCTGGCCTAGGGAATTCCATGGACTGTATAATCCATGGCATAGCCAAGAGTCAGATATGACTGACTGTATGAGTGACTAGCACTTTCACTTTTCATAAATGGCCTTTATTGTATTGAGTAAATTTCTATTTTATTGAATTTTTTTATCATAAATGGATTTTGAATTTTGTCAAGTGTTTTTATTCATAGTCTTACTTTTAATTCTTACTTGAATGTTGGTAGAATTGAGCTTTGAATCCATTTGATCCTAAACTTTTAACTTTTGGGGTTTTTTTTTTCTTAATTAATATTTGAATCTCCTTGTTACTAGACTTTTGAGTTTTTCTACTTTTGTATTTTTTCTTGTTTTAGTCTTGACAGCATGTATGTTTCTCAGAATTTATCTATTTCTTCTAAGTTTTCCAATTTGTAATTGTTCATCAATAATAATAGTCCCTTATGATTATGCTTCTTTACTTCTGAGGTATCTGTTGTAATGTCGCTTTCCTTTCTGTGTTTATTTCAGTTTCCTCTCATTTCTTCTTACCTTATGTAGGCTTTATTGATATTATTTGTTTCTTTCAAAAAATGCACTTCCAGTTCTTGCACATGCACCCTGGGCATTCTGGCACACGGGCAATGTGTTTAGAGGTGTTGCTTAGCAACAATCATTCTGGGATGCAAGATTCCAAACTGTTGAGCTTCCCAGCTGGGAGGTTGTGGCGGGACGGCTCTGGTTTACCTCTAGTGCTCGTGTTGGGTTTAGGGGCCTGTGAAGAGCTGAGGGGGAGGTGAGGTGTGTTTGGAGTCTGAAGGCTCTGTGATGAGGAAGATTTTTTGCTTCAGGAGTAAGAAGGGCACCTTGCCCTTCGGCTCCTCCATCAGCCCGGGGAGAGATGGCAGTCATAGAATCAACTTCCAGCCCGGGTACCGCATCCGAGACAAGGACCTCGGAAAGATCCACAAAGCTGCCAGCGTAGGCAACGTAGCTAAAGTGCAGCAGGTTCTGTTGCTCGGGAAGAGTGGCCTGAATGACAAGGACAAGATGAACAGGTAAGCAGGGAGGAAGGGCCTGGCAGGGGTCCCTCCTGTGAGTCTCCCCTCCAAGGCTCTTGGACACCTTTCTGGGATCCAGCACCCCGCAGACTTGATAGGCTGCAAAAGCCTTAGCTGGTTTTGGACCCCGCTTATAATTCTCCTTATAGAGCACTTTACTGGCCATTTTAAAGTTATTTAACTGAATGTCAGTAATCACAGAACTGAAATAAAACATGAATAGCATCTTTTTTTTCCTCTTCTTCCTCCTCCTTTTCATTGGTTGTTATGCATGCGTTAACATGGTGTACTCATGAGTAAGAGCTCTCATGTTCTATAGCCCTCAAGAAATCTTCTGGAACTCCCTGGCTCTCACATTGTTTTTCTCATGTGATTTATGAAAACTCTTCTTCCCATGGATCGTCCATTGTGGATATTGGCAGTGGACAGATTTTTGATGTTGTCGGCATCTTATTTTTAATGTACACATTTTCATACCATAATTTATATATTCCAGAAAACTGCATAGTGAGAAAAATAATCCCCATGACAGGTCAACTTCTGGGTTAAAAATTCTTCAGATACAATGCAATATCAATTTTATATCACTGTACTCTTATGTGTATATATTCCTTGCTGAAGGACCTTAGAAGACAGCTTTGAAGTAGGAAGCTGACTGTGTTCTTGAATAGGAAGACATTTTCTTAGGATATATGGTCTTTCCATATTTAAACCAAATAAACATATCGTGGTTTTAAAGGTTTTGGGTTACACATGCTGTCTTTAATTGCGATGAAATTGGAAGTTTTGTATATTAGACAAAGATTTGCCCTTTTAGATTATCAAAATTTGCTTGATGACATTTTCTATTAGTAAAGATAAATTATGTGTAGATGGTAGAGAAATAACCTGGTCACTATTAAGAGAAAAGTAACTCGATTTTTATCTCACCAAAAAGTTTCAGATGGAGTATGTATCAAACGTTTGAAATACACAGGGTGAGAAAAATACCAGAAGAAAACTGAAATTCCTATTGATACATTTTTTGTGTGCTGACAATGACCTTTTTTTTCTGGTTTTACTGGTTACTAACCTTAGTATCTTTTTAATTAGATGGTAATTGCTTTACAGTGTTGTCTTGGTTTCTGCTGTACAACAGCATAAATCAGTTGTAAGTATACACATATCCCACCCCAGAGACTTTTCTAAGAATGATTTCAAAGGTAAACACTCTGGAGTTTCCTGGGTTTCCACACCAAAAAAAAAAAAAAAAAAAATCTGAAAGTTGATTTAGCAACCCCCCAAATTTAAAAATCTCTGTAGATCAAGCTGTCTGTAGGAAGTCGGATGAGCAGACAGGGTTTATCTTTCTGGCACTCATAGGAATGTGGCACAGACAAAAATAATTTGTCACTTTCAATTTATTTGTGAGGATTGGTATCCTGTGACAACTTTCATCCTTTTCAGAAGTCAAGGGAATCTTGGGAATTTCCTGGCCATCCAGTGGTTAAGACTCACTGCTCTGGGCCCAGGTTTCGATTTCTGGTGAGGGAACTAAAATCCTGCAAGCTACAAGGATATATTGTCCAACATGGGGAATATAGCTAATATTTTATAGTCACTTTAAATGCAGTGTAACCGTTAACAGTTGTGGATCACTGTGTTGGGCACCTGTATTATAGAATAATATATAACAGACATCATCTCTAAAGAAACTTAAATGAAAACACCTCACGGTAATTAGACCAACAGGAAAAATGAGAAATGAACAAACAGAAATGCTACAATTTACAGTTGTAAAGCCTGTGAATTATAAATTATATTCCAATGTCAGAGACGTTAACATGTGAGAAAATAAGCATATTATAATCATCGAAGTACAGTGTTGTCTCTAATCCTCAAAACGTATCTGCAAAGGAGTTGTAATATCGTTTGACTTCATTCAGATGTTGTCCTTGTAAGACAGTAGTGATAGTAGTAACTTTGATTTTCGAATCTAACAATAACCAGCTGTTATCTGTGCATGGATCTCATTTAAGCATCGCAGCGGTGTCCTGTGAGATAACTGCTACTCTCTCTCCATTCTGTTGATGAGGAACTTGAGGTACAAAGAGGCTGAGTGACAGCTAATAAGTGGCAGAGTGAAAGTCAAATTCAAACCCAAGTTGAGCTGAATCTCGAGGTCTTGCGCATTCTATTCAAGTAGATTGTTCTTTCCTTACTGTGTAAGAAGAGCTAAAGCTGATATATGCTGCTCTTTCTCCAGAAGAAAACAAAATATTTGTTTTAGAGGGATAGGAGTACCATGCTGTTGAGTGTTTTCAATCACATGAACAGTTGTTTGTTTTAAAACTGTGACACTCCAGTTTCCTAAAAACTGCTCCTGCTTTTGTAGGACTGCGCTCCACTTGGCCTGTGCCAATGGCCATTCAGCGGTGGTGGCTCTCCTCCTGGAGAGAAAATGCCTGCTCGACCTCTGTGACAGTGAAAACAGGACCGCGCTGATGAAGGTATGGGCAGCAAACCATGTCCACATGAGGTGGATGTGATTTCACTACTGAGACTAAAGATGAATTTATCTCGTTGAAATAGAGGGAACTGGTGAAACGTGTGGACTGTTTCGTTTGAATTCCTAGTACTCATAGTCTGTTTCTTGGCACAACGCTGGCAGGCCGTACAACGCCAAGATGAGGACTGCGCGGCTCTCCTGCTGGAGCATGGTGCCGACCCGAATGTCAGGGACGCCTGTGGCAACACCGCGCTCCACTACGCTGTCTTTTGTCAGAATTTATCACTCGCAGCAAAGCTGCTTTCCTACAACGCCCATATAGAAGCCAGGAACAAGGTATTGGTCAGCTAACTTTATTGACCAAATGTTTGTGAAGCATTTTTTTTAAATCTATAAGTGTTTAATTTACAGCAGTATGTAAATAGGTAAACTGAATAGTGCCCATGAGGCCCTGTTACCATGGAAACAATTCTAAACCTGAGTCAGGGGGCAGGGGTGGAAAAAGTAGGTGCCCCCAGAAAAGACAGAGCTCTGTCTGCCAGCCACCCTTCTACCCCAGAAGGAAGGTTTTCCCATGAGAACGTGGGTGGGAGTGGGTGGTAGGCTCCGAGCCCACAGGAAATGAAGGCCTGTGGGGAGGGAAGTGATGTGGGGACTGGCTGTTTACAGGGGCTCAAGGAATGTGTGCCGCTGGGGGTGGGCAGAGGAGGAAGGAGACCCAGTGCCCATCATGGAGCTCGCTGAGTGCAAGTGGGCCTGGGAGGCAGCAGTCCTGGAGCCCTGCACTCTCCAGGACCCCTGGTTCTGAGATCCGGCTAGGCAGGTCAGGTCATGTTTGACACCACTTGCGCTGGTGACCACTTGGTTCACCAGGTACACCTTGGGGTCCTCCACGCTCAGTCCCGGGGAGCTGCTCGGCGGGGTTGCAGCTGTGCCTGGGGAGCTGCCCTTCCTGCTCTTTCTTCAGGAAGCATGTGAAGTCCAGCTTCTGCAGCCCCACCAGGACCTTCCCCCACTCTCACAGGTGGGCTCAGGTTTCCATGTTTGGGAGCTCCAGTCTTCCCTGAGTGAAAGTATTTTGAAGGAACCAAGTTGTGTAAGATTTCACTTTAAATCATGATATTTCTCAAGCATTAGAGAGTAAAGCGTTCCTTTATGTGTTTATGGCCGGGATTTATGGTAACACTGTACTTGTTAAAGGTAAAACATTTTCCAAATATTTTCCCCCACTTAACTTTTTTTTTTTTTTTTTGAATCAGTCTAAAATAACACAGTAAAGCAAAATTTGCCTCAGTAGACTTTGTCTTAAAATTCAAACCTAACGAAAGCATTTTACAACACAATAGAAATCTTGCTGCTGTTGACAAATTCGCATTTTATGAAAAATGATTTATATCAGCACGGTTTCTCTGTCACTGCCCAAATCTTAAGAGGGCAAAGGAAAGGAAAAGGAGCGAGCAAGTGAAAAGTGCAAGTGAGGCCAGAATATTGGCAGTTGGGAAATGCCAAGAAGAGGATTTATTTATTTTAATATTTATTTATTTGGCTGTGCTGGGCTTAGTTTCAGCATGTAGGATCTAGTGTCCCAACCAGGGGTCGAACCCAGGCCCCCTTTACTGGGAGCACTGAGACCCAGCCACAGGACAACCACGGAAGTCCCGAGACTTTAGTTTGTGCTTTTTATTCCTGTCAGTTTATATATTTCTGTGAGGTGCTTTTCAGTTTTCAGGGATGATAATTGTTATTTCGCAAAAGACTGTGAGTGAATTGTAAACTTGCCTAGATGTCAGTTTTTTTTTTTTTTCCATATGTAAACATAACTTTATTTTTTTTTCATTTATTTTTATTAGTTGGAGGCTAATTACTTTACAATATTGTAGTGGTTTTTGNGTTTTTGTCATACATTGAAATGAATTAGCCATGGATTTACATGTATTCCCCATCCCGATCCCCCCTCCCACCTCCCTCTCCACCCGATCCCTCTGGGTCTTCCCAGTGCACCAGGCCCGAGCACTTGTCTCATGAAGATGCCAGTTTTAAGAAGACTCTGAGCAAAGCAGACTGGCAGTGAACAGGTGGCAATTAAGTGGGAATTAAGAGAGAAGAACAAATAAATAACTGATATATTATCCTGTTCTGGCAGAACCAGAACCATCCCCTTAGATAAGAGTCTAGACTCTGCTCTCCCATCTAGAATGTCTTGATGGGAAGGAAGGGGTTTATAAATAATGAGATCAGGTTGCCTTTTGGGTTTACTAGTCCCTGTTCTACTACTGTTTACCCAGGGAAATCTAAAAAATTGCAGTTTTGATGACTCTTACCTCTTACACTTTTCTTTTATATTCAACCCCTCACGTAAGAGAAGGAATCGGCTCTGTGAGTAAGAGATGAGACTGGCGTGGTTGCTGCACTAAGTCTCAGCTATATTCTGCTGGCGAACCACAATCGTTTGGGAAAACTTATTTAAAAAATTTACAAGCCTAGGCTGTTCCCTGAAGATTTTGACTGAGTAAATCAAGGAGCATTTGGACGTGTGTGTTTAGAACTATTCCCTTGAGATTCTGATCCAGCCCTTGATGAATAACTATGGAGTGAACACATGTAATTTCTAAATGCACCCTTCACAAAAGAAAGTAGTCTCTAGAAGCATTTGGAGTTTGATCAGTGCTAGCTACTTCCATCAGCTCCCTCCTTTCCAACAACATTAGCCTGACTTTTTCTCTGCCCCTGTGTTTGAGACATTAAAAGGAGTACCTTTGGCAATATCTATGGGCTGGAACGATAACTCCGTTTCCTTCCAACCAGTCATCATTCAGTGACATTCCGAGAGTCTTTAGAGATTTGCTCATGACAAAGTCACTTCATCTGTAGAGTCTGACCCTTTAAGGATTTTACACCTTCTCTTATCATCCAGGTCATTAGGTCAACAGATGTTTGTTACCAACAGGGTTTTCCTGACTGCAGTAATAGTAACTCATGAGGCTGTTTTGGTGTCAGCTGCAGGACAAACTCTTGCAGTGTGTCTGTTAGAATTGCTGATCCCTGACATAAGCAGAGGAGAGCTTTAAAACCCGTAAAGTTAGTAGCAGTAGAGAGGGGAATTGTTTTAAGCATTTATTTTCAGCAGGCTTAGGAACTGCTTATACATTTGATTAACAATACAGAAGAATTCTAGAGATAGCTTGTAGTTTCAACAGGCAGTGGAAACATTCTTGACTGTGATTTAGGAGTCTTTTTAAAAGAATTTATGTTTAATTGAATTATGAGTCTCAATAGGCTTATTTACTACATATTGGGACCCACTTTTTGTGAAACATATGATACTAAAGAAAAGAAAGATTTCACAAACAAATATTTGCTTTATACCCACCTGTTTGGAAACAGCAAACATAAAACCAAAAGTGGGCAATAGACCAAATATGGCCCTTGGGTATGTTTAGTTTACCTCCACACATTGAGTCAACATTTCAAATTGACGAGGCTCATACAGAAGTTCAGGCTTCTCCAAGGAGCAAATCTGGGCCCCCTTGAGCCCATCGTACTGTTTGGTCTGCATGCAGAGGCTACCCCTTCTGTATGGGACATGTGTTTTGGGGGTTACCGGTCTCATCTGGCTTTTTCACTTACTCAGGTCATCAGCTTTCCATCCATAAGCATTTGAGTTTCCAATTTTTGATTGATAGTTTATTTTGATAGATATTTGAATAGGTTTTAAAGACAGTCTAATCTATAATTGATTTCATATTTTAAAAAATTTATTAAGAATGGGATAGAATTTTTCAAATTAGAATTTTTAAGTTCATTGTGGCGGTTTCACACTGAATAACTCTCACAAGCACACCAGATTATAAGAGACAGTGCAGGGAGAGCTCGTGGAGGAGCAGCTCCTGGAGAAAATGCTGGGCATGTATTTATTGGTAATTTTATGTTGCAATCTTTAACTAAGAGCAGGAAAGCGAGAGAGACGCCAGAACTCTGGGGTTTTGGAAGCTTCCTCCTGGTGGTCTGGAGGTAATCACATGAGAGTCATCAAGAAGGGTCTTTGAAGATAAGGTGGGGAGGGCGCTCATTCTGCATGGAGTTAGCATCTAGCTAATGCTGACCTGTCACCCAGAACGTCTGACTTAAGGAAGGGCAGTGGAAAGAGCAAGCAAGGAAGAGAGAATGAGTAAGATTAAATTCCAGGTGACATTTCTGAGAAAGCAGTAAAACAGGGTTCCCACAGTTGATTTTTTGGAAAAAAAAAAAAAAAGAAAAGTTTCTCGCTTTACATGTTCATGTAGAGAATAGTATTCCCATTGGCAAGTCTGAAAACCTTTTGAGTTTACTCATGGTCATCCTTGGATGGGTTATGCATGCTACAGATAGTATTATATATTTCTGGCCCAGCATTGTTCCTAAAATATGCATTTGATGCAGTAGCTAAATGATACCAGCACCCCCTGCATTGGGAGCTTGACTCTTAGCCACTGGACCACCAGGGAAGGCCCAGAGGAGGAGCATGTTAAAGGAAAGGAAGGTGCACAGGGCGATGAGGAGGAGGGGGCACTTTTTCATTTACTTTCTGCATTGTATTTTTAAGTTCCGAGAGCCTATTGCACGATTTTAATGTCAGCTTAGAAATAGGTTAACTGTGTACATTAGAAGTGATTTTCCCTGTTTTACAGGATGGCCTCACACCATTGTTACTTGCTGTACATGAAAGGAGAGGAGAAATGGTGGAGTTTTTAGTAGACAAAGAAGCGAGTCTACATGCGGTTGACAAGATGAAAAGGTACCATTGTTCTTTTTCTTTTTAAAACCCTCAGTGCTGTTCTAGGATGGTAATATCAAGATTAAATGAATAAGAGGATTCATTTGTAATCAGCACATCATCACATAGGTAGAAAATCAATTATTCTGACTGGGAGTCATGAACAATATATAGCAGGAATGTATAGCAGGATTCATATTCCTTTATAATATTGACTAATGTCATATGCAACCTGTTTTTTGTTTGTTTGTTTTGTCGATCTTGGAATAGCTGAGGGATTTCAAATTAGTTTTATTATCTTTATGAAATATGGATTCTGCTTTTTAGTTTACCTCATGGCAGTATCGAGTTTCTTAATTCTTTTAAAAGAATTCTTTAACCTCTACTTTGTATGTATATACTTTTAAAAGATGGATAGTAAACCTAAAAGACTCGATTTTGTCTTTTGGATAACTCTTTGCTTTAAATTACTTTCTTTGAAGAACACTGATGTTATTACGTTGCAAAAGAGTCAGACACAACATAGCAACTAAATAACAACAGCCACAAAAAGGTGATTATTACTCACTGTCACCAGATCCTGTGGGTTCATGAATTTTTATCCTTTCTCATTTTAGTACATTTTGATATTTTCATTTTTAATGCAGGTAGAAGGAAGAAAGATAGCTTTGTTGGATAAAGAGTTCCTTTAACAAAGCCAAGTTAGAGGTGGATGATACAGATGAAAATTTTGGGCTTTAGATTCAGACTAGGTTCAATTCCTAGGTTTCCTACTGATTATGGTTATTTATCATTAGCAAATAAGTTTCCTGATATGCAAGACAAATAGTAGTGTATCTTTCAAAGGTGCCTGTGTGTGAGAAAGATTTTATATTTAGTATTTCATTTTTAGTGCCTAGCACATGCTTGTCCACATCATTAACTGCCACCATGACTATTTTTATTCCCATTATTATCAATATTTTTGATTTAAGCCTGCAAGTAGCCTTTTCTTAATCCAACCTCTAGCTGACTTTGAAGCCAAATATATCAGACTAAGGAGAAAATGGGGAATTCACCCCTTAAATAGTCACCTGCCTCAGATAAGTGACTTCAGCATCGTTTCTTGTCCACTAAGGATTTTATTATTCTTCTAAAAATACATTTATTTATTTATTTATTTGGCTGCGTGGGGTCCTAGTTGTGGGAACTCTTAGTTGCAGCATATGGGATCAAGTTTCCTGACCAGGGATAGAAGCTGGGCGCCCTGCATTGGGAGCCTGGAGTCTTTCCCCTGGCCCACCAGGGAAGTCCCCATCAGGGACTTTTGAAATAGTAAGTGCTGCTACCTGGCATCCCAATGGGACAGGAGACTTCTTTTCTGTCCCTTCATTTTAGCCTTGGAGGTGATTTACAAAGATCAACTCTTGAGCCTGTAAATGATCAATTCTTCATGAATGGGCAAGGTGTTCACGTGTTAAAGCATATCAAATTTCCTCAAGAGGCTCTTTTGTTCTTCCTCACTTTCTGCCATAAGGCTGGTGTCATCTGCATATGAGGTTATTGATATTTCTCCTGGCAATCTTGATTCCAGCTTGTGCTTCATCCAGCCCAGCGTTTGTCATGATGTACTCTGCATAGAGGTTAAATAAGCAGGGTGACAATATACCTTTACTTTCTCCTTTACTACATGCTAAATGAAAGTGTATAGATCTTAGAAACTTGAAATGTATGGGACAATTGAAGTTTTGATATTATCTCTGGCATTGTCTGAAATGATCTAAGAGTTTGGTAGTTTTTCATATCAGTGTTAAAATATTACTTATCACATTTTTAATACATAGCATTCACCAACTGATTTCTGAATATAAAGAAAAGAGACCTAAAACTTCTGAAAAGAGCAACCCAGGTACGTCATATGATACCGAATTACTTTTGGTGATTCTACCATAGACAAAGTAGGAGTGAAGAAGTTTCAATAATGAAAGAACTATGAAAAATTAGCATAAATTGCATGTGCATTTTATTTTTTAAATTAATTTCTTAATACTCTAGTATTCAGAAGTGATTAAGAAGTTAATTGTAGGTGATTTAACATCAAAGACGGTATTGTCTGAAAAGAAATCCATCTATTTAATATGGCCCCTAAAGTTCTCTGCTAGATCTTTGTGTAAATCAGAAAAAAAAAAAATTAAGTGAGTATGATGTATATTTCACCTATAGTCATATTATAGCAGATTGGATTTCTTATGAAAGTGAACTTTCATTTATAGAAATGGTTTGCATTTAGTGAATGAATAGTTAGTAGTTACTGTGTAGTGATTAGTCTCACTAAAATAGTTACCATCATTAAAACTGGGAACCTGAATAATCCCTTTCTGGTAGGATAAGAAATGATAAACAATAAGAACTGCAAAGCTGAGCCAGTGTGCAGCATAGTAGTGAGAGATTATTTCTGAAAGATACTTACCAATAGTACCGAAGGCCAAAAAGCAATGCCTGGTTGAGAATCAGTTATTTTGCCTATTTTTGTACCAAGCAGGTGTAGCTTACCAACTTAATTCCTTACAGATCCAAAGAGAGTGAGATAGATTGACTTCATTGGGACCAGATGTTTTCTTTTGTGTGATGGCCAGTTGTCATGACAGTATAGTTTTGTAAGAACAAGATGCTCTCTTGCCATCAATTAAAAAAGTATCATAATAGATCTCCAAATAGATGGACTTGGGACTCTGCAGGTTCTAATAAAAGCACAGAAATACTTTGCATTAACAAAAACTGCATTAGGTCCACTGTATGTGGCATCTAGCATATTGTACAGGGTATCCGAGGATACCGTTGACTGAGTAGACCTCTATCTAATCAAATGGGGCTTCCCAGGTGGCTCAGTAGTAAAGAATCCACCTGCCAATGCAGGAGATATGGTTTGATCCCTGTGTCAGGAAGATCCCCTGGAGAAGGAAATGGCAATGCACTCCAGTACGCTTGCCTGGGAAATTCCATGGACAGAAGGGCCTGGTGAGCTGTAGTCCATGGGGTCACAAGAGTCAGACAGGACTTGGTGACTGAACAACAAAAACATCTATCAAAGAACTGTAGGTTGGTTTAATACATTAGTCAGAGGAGATACAGAGATGAGAGTGTCTTGGTCTTCAGTACGCTCAGAATAGAATAGAGTTTTCTCTGGTTAATTTCTGTATTTTTCTTTTTATTTTAATTTCTGTATTTTTCTAAACAAAATTTTCAAAAAAACATGCTTATTTATTTGCTCATTTGTTCACTAAACAGATAGCTTTCAAGTGTATTTTGTGTACTAAGCATTGTTCTGATGTCACAGAGTGAAAAGAGTTAAAATTCACTGCCCCTGCTCTCCAGGCTCAAGCTCGCAGTGCTCCTCTCCCCGTGGAGTCACTGCATGTGAGTCATCCCTCCAGCATCAGATCATGACGACCCCTGGGAAATGTTTAGCAGAACCAGAGTCCGTGGCTCCCTCCATTCTTCCCTCCCTCCCCTTGTTCATCAGCTTAGGATGTGGTGACGTATGCCTTCCAAGCTGGAAAAGCATGATTTCTATAAGCATTTACCATATAATGGGAAGGATTGATATAATGCTAGCCCTCACTAGTACACAGCACTCTTTGGACCATCCTGCTCTATGTGGTGCAGATACTCTTGAGCAATGGAAGGAGACAGTCTCAAGAGATTCTTTTTAGACATATTAGTGTCTCTCTGTGTGTGTGGGTCTGTGTGTGTATGTGGGTCTGTGTGTGTATATATATATGGAACTTTTTTAAAAAGTTCAGCTTCTGTGTAACCTACTGCAATCTCACCACTACAAGTCTACAAGAAGAGTCCCCACTCTCAGCACCGAGTTGATCCCCTTTACCCGTTTGCCCTCCCCCACCTCCCTTTCAAGAGATTATCCTTTCTAAGTCTGGAATGACTACTTCTTTCATACTTCTCTTGTCTTTGGAAAGAGGGCCAGGCAGAGAAGACTTTGTTTCCTATGCTTTACCACACTCTGAAGTTCAGTGCCTGTGGACCAAGCTTCCCTGTGATAGGGTGTTTTCATTCTGAACTGAAGAGCCAGAGGAGTTGTCATGTCCCAGCAAGACACCTATAGTCTCTGTTCAGTGCTCCAGGCAATGGAAGTCCAGAAATACTGTGCTATTTAAGTGTGCTATTTTCAGCTTATAGTACTGATTCTATTAATTGTATAGTATCATTGTCTGTCAGTCTCTTAGAGTTTGGTTAGGATTATGGTCATTGTAAACAGCAGTTCTTTCTTTCTTTTTTTTTTTTTTTTTTTTGTTTTGCATGTGATGACTATAAAGGGGAGGAGTGGTTCTTAGGCATTCTTAGGTGAGCCTATGAGAAGGGTACAACCACTGTTCTCTTCCTCTAGTGTGGCCTCCAGGTGTGGTTTGAAAGAAATACTTTTAAACAAAGCATCAGTCTTGAGGTGTTCATATTCTGTATTTTTCTTCTGTTGATTTAAAATGTGTCTTGATTTTTCTTTAATAGTGGATGAGAGTTCTGAAGAGGACTCTTCAAGGAGGTAGGATTTTATGGATGTTTTAAATTATATGTTTAACTAAGGGAACATGGAATAAGTGAAACTAATGTTTGTCGAGTGTTCTACTCTGGGTTAGACACTGCATTACGTGCTTAACATTTGTGACCTCATAGAGTTAGCACAGCAGCTTCGTCAAGTAGCTGTGTCCTACTTTTACTTAATTAGGCAACTGTGGTTTCAGGAGGTTAATGAATTGACCCTGGTTAAAATGAGTTGACCTGTGATTTGACAGCTGGCCTTCCTGGCTCCCACACCCACTCCCATGGCCCTAGGCAGAGACTGAGAAGTACCCGTGTAGCATATAAGTTAAAGATATAAATTAGTCCTTTGACTTGTGTACATTTTAAGTTTTGACATTGTGGTTAAACTCCCTGTACTCCCCCTTAGAGTAAAGGAGAGAAGTGGTGCCATCTCAATGAGTGGCACCCTGCTGATGGACCAAGACTCCCCTTTTGGACCAACTCAGATTCGTCTCTGAGCCTTGAAC